AGGTCGGCCGCACACATCTTAACGAAAACAGCCCGCAGGCAATCCAAATGCTCAGCGAACGTGCGACAGAAAACAATGACATCGTCCAAATATATTAGACATGAATCCCACTGAAGGCCCGCCAAAACCAACTCCATCAAATGCTGAAAGGTGGCCGGCACGGAATGGAGCCCCATCGGAAGCCGGTTAAACTCGAACAACCCTTGTGGTGTTCGAAAAGCCGTCTTGGGCCTTGAAGCCTCATCAAGCGGCAATTTCCAAAAGCCCGACAGAAGGTCAATGGTGGAAAAGAACCACGCGCCCGCCAAAGCATCCAACAAATTGTCAGGCAAGGGGTATGCATCCATAACAGAAACCTTGTTAAGCTTGCGGAAATCGACACAAAACCGCAAACTGCCATCGTGCTTCTTAACAAGGACGATCAGAGCACCCTTTGGACTTGTGGATGGCGAGATGATATCTGCGGCCAACATCTCATCAACCGCCGCCCGAATGTGTTCCTTTTCGGCCGGGCTCAGGCGGTAAGGATTCTGCCGAATGAGGGCGGCATTTCCCGTGTCGATATGGTGGCTCAAAAGGGACGTGCGACCGATATCAAATTGACTTTTACCAAAAATGTCAGAAAACTCCCGCAGGAGCGCTCTCAGCTTCCCCATTTGTTCCGCGGATAAATCGCCGCATTCAGAGCACAGTCTATCCATCAAGCCCTCATCAACATCCCGAAGTCCGTGAGCCCGAAAGCCGACCCTGACATTTGCCACGACATCCGCCTCCGGACACGCCGGAGGCGGATGTGCAATCACGGAACCCTCCTGAATGACCGTAGTGTCCGACCCGGCATTAAGGACTTGGATAAATGGTGCCTGGTCCCGGGACACCAGTGTCTGAGCCGCTACGAGTGACATCCCCCGACTAAGCTTATTGGAAGGGACCCAACACAATACCGTCCTCGACAGCGTGCACATCGAGCGGTTTACGCAATCGAAGGGGCACCAACATTTGCGCGCCGGGCGGAATCCGCACCGTTCGGCACGCAAGCGCTTGCACCATGGCGTTAGCATAACACATGCAGGTTGGAGATGGGAGAAATCCCATATGCCGTCCCGACGGCAATTCCAAACAGCCCTGGTCGATACAAATCTTCAGAGGCATTTTGCCGAGAAAATCGATCCCCAGCAAGCATGGAACAGCCAGGGCTGTAGAAACCAAAACATTGCCCGACAATGTTACACAACAGTTTTCCGACGGATTATCCCCAACGATCTGCCGTTAGCGGCAAAACACGTTGCATCCACCAGCTCCAAAACCTGACACCGGGGGGGGGGGCTAAATATTGTAAATATAGGTCGGAAATAATGGTTGACGCGCTGGCATCAACTAGCATGGGAATCCCAACCCCCTCAATGAACCCAAGCACAGCCGACTGCCCCACAGCCGCCGCAACCACTCGATGTGCCAGCTAGAGGCTTCAACGTTGGCGCAACAACGTTGCACGTTTACTAGGTTTGTGATGACTTGTTAAACGCTACCAATGCCAACTCATTACTGGTTGATTCATAGTCCAGTCACGAAAACTTCTAATCTAGATTGATTCATAGCCCCTTCGTCAATCCACTGCTGTATGAAGGCATCCCCACAGCGTATCGTTCGTGCGGGTTGTCCGACCATACTTCACCAAGCTGGTCAATGCACGTTGTGAGCGGGTGGGGGAAGAGTTTGTGGTCCAGTACCGGTTCAGATATCACTCACCACTGATGTTAGCCGTGACCAGGAATCGAACTTGCGTCATTGGGTTTACAGAGCAGTGCGCTAACCGCTTCCTCAATGTCCACTCATATGTAAAAGAAATTTGATGTGAATTTAAATCAAGAATTTTCATTTTATGTTTTAACAGACTGTTGGGGCAAGTGCTCTTAGCGAGCATCTTTTAAGGCCTGCACGGTACGCGAGAGGGTGGACGGCCAGTACCACGCCCGGTCGCCTTTGTTTCCCTAGTGATGATGAGCACCAGGTACTCATTTGAGGCTGAGTCGACCTAGAGGGAGGCCCAGGACCAGTTCAGATAATCGTCACTGGTGTTGGCCGTGAGCGGGAATCGATCTCGGATCGCTGGGTTCGTAGCGCAAAGCGCAAACCACTACACTACCACTCACACGTGCTAACCCGAGTGACGTCGACCGATGCCACGTGACACCACTTTTGGCGGGAAAGTGCGGTCGGGGACGTCACTATTATGACGTCACTTGCCGTGGGGAAATTTCGTATCTCGCTCCCCATTCTCGGATTATTCCGAAAATCGGGAAGACGCTCACACAATACAGAACACACGTATAATATAGACAAAGCCGCCCCTTGTAACCTACGTAGAATGTGTACTGCAAGTGCCGTAAATGAGCACGGCGCACGAGGGAAGGTGGGGTGGCCAACAGAACACCCAGATGCCTTTGTCTCCCCAGGGCAAATGTTTACACACACACATGCACACGGTGCCCGGGATTCATTTAATCCGGAGTCGACCTAGGGGGAGGCTTAGTAGATAATCACTTGCCACTGATGACGTTAGGCATCGCCGGGAATCAAACCTAGGTTGTCAAGTTCGTGGCTCTTTGCGCTAAGGGGCCGTCCATAAATGACGCCACGCGATTTTGGACGATTTTTGACTCCCCCGCCCACTCGTCACACGGCGTCATAAAAAGTCAGACCCCCCTCAAATATGACGTCACAAAGCTCTGCCCCCCCCCCCCCCAAAAAAAATAAAACATGCTTCAAATCACTTTAAACTATTGTCACTGTAGCGTATTTAATGTGGCGCTGCACTCTAATGTTGTAGGAGAAAAAAATTATTAAAAAAGTATATTTAATTAAGTAGAACGTGTTTATATTTATTTAAAGTTGCGCATTTTGATGTGACGTCACATTTCTCAACCCCCCCCCCCCCTCATCGTCACACATCGTCATAAATATCTGATCCCCCCCCCCTAGATGCGTGACGTCATTTATGGAGGGCCCCGAACCAATTCGCAACCTATCCCCTTAAATACCACTCAGCAGCAGCTGCCACTCCAACTGACCGTAAAGGCCACCACAGCGCGTGGGCCAGGCTAGGTTCACATACAAAGACAAATATTCCCCGTACTAGCTTGTCTGCCCGTCCACGGACAGAAGCTGTAATATTTTACGGTAATATTGAAATGAGGTGCCCAGGGTTTGCCTTGATCCCCGACAGGCATGTCGGCCTCACACATCTTAGCAGATGCTTCCACAGAGTACTTTTTCGCGCTTGTCTTGATAAATTGGCCACAGACATAGCAACATGCGTCTGCCGGATGCTTGCAGCCTCTTAATGCCGTCTCAGAAAAATTCAGATTTGTTTCCACTTAGGCAGCTGGAACTAAACTGAACTGGTGGGCTGAAGTATTTACACTACTATTTATATTACTGGAAAGTTCTAAAATGTTCTAGAAGTTACTCCAAGTTTACTCAGCACTGAATCTCTCTGGAATGTTCTGGAAAATATGTAAATTTCAAAATATCACTGTCCTGGTCACAAAACCAAAGTTTGTGGGGAATAATAGCCATGTTTCTGTACTTTTGAGGCATAAGCAATGAGAAAATAACACTTACTACCCAGGAACAATACATAATTATAATAAAGACCAATTATTCCATGAACAAATATTCTCCACGCATCTCCCCCCACCCCCACTCTCTCCCCCCATCTCTCCTCCTACCCCTCCTCCCACCTCGCTGGAGGTGGGGGGGGCGGTCCCTTTGGGGAGGGGGATAATGAATTGGGTCACGTGGGACTGCTTTGGTTAGGAGGCGTGTGCACTTGTGTGTATGTAGAGATGTGTATGTTTATGTTTACACACGTGTGTCTGTGTGTGTGTATATATAGATACGTGCTATCTTTGGGTGTGCGTGTGGGTGCAGAGAGAGATATAGATTTATAATATATTTATAAATAACGATGATTATTTTCATTGTCAATCTATGTTTTTGGTTAATATGCTGTTGCGTGTGTATGTGTGACGTGTATGTGTGTATTTTGGGATGCGGTAACGGAGTGGTTAGTGCCCTGCGCGCGCGCGCGTGTGAACAGCCTATTAAAGGCTATACGGGGGATCTTTGTCTTTTGTATATAGGTGCAGGTACTATGTGTATAAATAGCGGTGTGTGTAGGAGTGCGTTGGGATCACAAAGCAATGCAGGTAAGTACGTTGCAAATACTAACACGGACAAAGACGCCCACTCTTAGAGACTAGCACATACTGTTGAGGCAAGTGCTGTTAGCGTGGATCTGTTATGGCTGGCACGGACGCACATACTGTTGGGGCAAGTGCTGTTAGCGAGGATCTGTTATGGCTGGCACGGACGCACATACTGTTGGGGCAAGTGCTGTTAGCGAGGATCTGTTATGGCTGGCACGGACGCACATACTGTTGGGGCAAGTGCTGTTAGCGAGGAGCTGTTATGGCTGGCACGGACGCACATACTGTTGGGGCAAGTGCTGTTATCGAGGAGCTATGCTGGCCGGCACGACGCACGAGTGGGTGGTCTGGCCAACACCACGCTCGGCCGCTTTTGTCTCCCCAGTGCTGATGGTTACATACTACAGCAGGTGCTAATTTAAAGGCTGAGCCGACAAAGGGCAGATCCAGAATCAGTCGGATATTTCACCTGAAGCTGATTGTGAGAATCAAACTCGGGTCGCCGTTTGTCCTAACGCAGTGCGCTAACCACTACGCCACCGCTCCCAATGACAACAAAGACAAATATCCCCGTAGAGCCTTTCAGAGACTGTTGGGTCAAGTGCTGGTAGTGAGTAGCACCTATGAAGGCCGGAATGGCACACGTGGGGGTGGGTGACCAGCACCACGCCGGCCGCCTTATAAACACTAACATACATCATGATCATCAACCATGCTGAATCCACTGCTGGATGAAGGCCTCCCGAAGGCGTCCCTACCGCCTCTCGCGATCGTGCAATTTATGATTAAGCCACCTAGAACATGCACACGAGCGGGATGCATCGCTCCATCTTCTTGGTAGACGTCCTCTGGAACGTGTTCCATTCCTTGACTGCCACTCCATCCTACTGGAGATCTGCGAAAAAGGAGCTTTATAGCTCATCGGATTCCTCCAGTGTAATTAAATATTCTGATTCTGATCATTGTTCTAGGTCACCATACATCATCCCCGTGTAGCAAGCGCCCGTCAGAGTGTTGCTCTTCTCTTCATTAACCCCCCCCCTACCGCCCTCTCTAACCAGATGCTCTCTCCGTCTCCTGCACCTCCTCTCTATCCCTGACACGACAAGGTTCCAGCAACGACCATAATCTCAACAATATCTCAACAACCTTCAACCACGACCAGGATCCCAACAAGATCTCAACAACCATCAACCACTACCAGGTACCCAACAATATCTCAACAACATTCAACCACGACCAGGATCCTAACAAGATCTCAACAACTTCAACCACGACCAGGTACCCAACAAGATCCCAACAACCTTCAATCACGACAACCTTCAACCACAACCACAACAAGATCTGAAAAACCTTCAACCACGATCTCAACAACGTGGCTATCACCACCCCAGCCACAACCACGACGTCCACCATTGTTCCAACCACAACCCCTCTATCCGCACCACCCTAGCCGCAACCGCCAACTCAACTTAACCAAAACGACCCACGATGGACCCTCCATCCTCCAGTGCCGCCGCTCCCTCTTCGCCTGCCAGCAGCAACTCGAGCTGGGCGGCACCTCCTCCTCTTCCTCACTGCGCACTGGTGCAGGGCTCCTTCTCATGCTCCGGCTCGGCGCTCAGCTCCGCGCAGAGGGCCGCGTGGTTGGCCATGATGAGCGTCGCCATGGCGTCCGCCGTGCTGGGCAACCTCCTCGTGGTCGCCTCCGTGTTGCACTTCAGGCGGCTGCAGACTCGCACCAACGCATTCACGGCGTCGCTCGCCGTCGTCGACCTCCTGGTGGGTCTCCTGGTCATGCCCTTCAAGATGACGCGCTCGGCCTACGGCTGCTGGTTCTACGGGATGGCCTTCTGCGCGGCGCACACGTGCCTGGACATCGCGCTGTGCACTGCCTCCATCCTGCACCTCGCCTGCATCGCCTTTGACCGCCACGTGGCCGTGTGCGACCCGCTGCGTTATGCGCAGCGGGTCACGGCGCGCCACGTCGCCGCGATGGTCGCTCTATCGTGGTGCTGCGGGGCCGTCATCTCGGTGGTGACCGTGTCGCTGGGCTGGAATGTGGTCGGCGTGCCCGACGAGGTGGTGGCGGCCTCATGCGCCGACAGCTGCGACTTCCTGCTGGGAGCGCCCTATGCCGTCGGCTCTTCGGTCTGCAGCTTCTTCGGGCCCGCGGCCTTCGTGGTGGTGGCGTACGCGCGGATCCTGCGGGAGGCGCGCCGGCAAGGGAGAGCCATCGCCTGCGAGCAATGGAGGCACCAGCGGCAACAGGAGAAGCAGCAGCAACAGAATGAAGATCAGCAGCAGGGGCGACAGGAGGATGGGGTTGGAGAAGGAGGACGAGGAGGAGCGAGAGGAGAAATGACGGGAAATGGAGGAGTCGTAGGAAAAAGATATGAAATTGGAGTAGGAAGAGCAGAAGGATTAGGAACTGTAGGAAAAATAGGATCGGTACTCGAAGGAGGAAGACTAACAACAGCACCAGCGGGAAAAGCGACCCAGGCAGTAGGACGGGCGGCAGACGCGAAGAGCGAGCGCAACGCGACGAAGATGCTGAGCATCGTCGTGGGCATCTTCCTCGCGTCGTGGCTTCCCTTCTTCCTCATGAACGTGTCCGACCCTCTCCTCGGCTACTCCATCGACCCACGCGCCTGGGAGGCCGTGACGTGGCTGGGATATGCGAACTCGGCCGCGAACCCCGTCATCTACGGGATCTTTAGCCCAAACTTCAGGGCCGCGTTCAGAGTCATCGCGGCCAGGAGCGCGTTCCGGGCTGGCTCGAGAGACGTGCAGCTCGGCTTCTGATGATCATGATCATGATGCTGATGGTCATCATGTTGGTGCTGTGGTTTTCACACCTGATGATGATTGCTTGTGTTGCAGTCGAAACGTCGTGAGAATTTTATTGTTTTATTATTTTATTGTTTCCCTTCTACGTGGTGACTTTACTGAAAGAACCAAGAATAATAAGATGCTAGTGTTCTTGATGATGGTGTCCTACCAGACAGTCTCGCCCCCTTCACCTGATGAAGGCCGCTTGTGTTGTGGCCGAACGTCGTGAGAATATTATTGTGTTATTTTATTTGATCAATTTATTAGTTTATTCTCATTCTACGTGACTTTACCGAAAGAACCAAAGAAGATGATGATGCTGTTGTATATTGGGAGTCCGCGTGTTCTCTCTCTCTCTGTAGTGGTCGCGTGGATATTATTTCGGTTCCTCCGGTTTTGCCCTCCTCATCACACGCTTAGATCATTAGGCTGCGGCTATACATCCCCACGTGTGATGATAGAAGCCACTTCGATGAGCTATGATGTGTGGCCAAAGTTGCCTCTGAAAACGAGCTAATAACTCAGAGGGTTTTACCTGCTAAATGCGATCGTAGTTTAGTTAAGTGATGATCCTGTTGATATTGTTGCTGATGCTGCTGATAATTATGTTGCTGATTATTGTGCTGCTGATGATCCTGCTGAGGATTCTGCTGCTGATAATGGCAATGCTGCTGATACTTTTTTTCTGCTGCTGATAATGCTGCTGATGATTAACAGTGGCGGTCGTAGCATGTATGTATGTTGAACTTCTTTTGCACCGTACGTCGCCAACCGTGCTAATCGGAGGTGCGGCGGAAGGACAACAAGTAGCAGCAGCAGAAACGGCAGGAAACAGAAGCAGCAGCAACTTTACAATGACCAATGTGGTACCGTATTCTCCCGATCGTAAGATGCCGCGTGAAATTACACAACGCAAAGCGTTGCCGTGGTTGCGTAGAGAATATGATTAATGAGATATAGGGACGCACACAATAACTTTGCGTGTGAAAAACACATTTATATTGTATGTGAAGAGACGGATATGTGGAGACATTGCGGATCTATTGTGTCATTTATCCAGCAGCCAGCCAGCAAGCAAACATTTAAAACAGACATTTAGAACGCGCCAGATTTTGCAGACAGGTCAATAACTCAGAGGCGCAGAGCCAAGCTCAGGACTCCTCGAAAACCTGCCCCAAACAGAGGTGTTTCTTAAAAGTCAGAGTGCATTCGATGTTGCGGGTGTACAATGGGACAGAGTTCGACACCGAGGTGGCGACAGCAAAGAACTGACGTGAGGCTGTAACAGTTCGAGACCTTCGTGTTCGAAGCAGATATTGAGTGATGCTGCGTAGGGTTCTACCATGTAGCATGATTCTTCACCACGACCCGAGTGGTCATTTTAAGTTGTGTATTACGTATATAGTTTCACGTCGATCTAGGACCCATATCTAATACACAGAGAGAGATAGAGAGACGTGGAAAGAGAGAAGGGGGTCCTTGCCTATAAACATCTGGAAGATCACTCGCATTGACCCTAGCAAACGTGACTTATGCTACAATATGGAACCTTTCTGGCCAGTAGCAAAATAAAACAATAGGTTTTATCCTTTCTGGCAATCCTTGTTTGGTGTTTTAACATATAACCTATCGTTATATTTGATACTAGCAAGAAAGGTCCCATGTTGTAGCTGCTCACCCCGAGCTATTAATGCCCTAATAGTGTATTGTCTTTGTGCTGTTCGCCTTTTGGCGTTCTCTGGCCTAAAACTTTGAGACTAGGCTGAGAGGCTAGGCTCAAAAGAAAGCTGTCTTTGGTGTGCAGCAATCAGTTTCAAAGACAATGCATATATCATCAGAGCATGTTTTTAGTTTGCATGTTAATGCAGGATTCATTGGGAAATAACAAGGATTCTGCTTCGTGTTTTAACATCTTCACACCTAAATTTTGATTTAAAGCTTTCGTGACTGCAGGAATTCATATTCTTGGTTATTTCGGTAAAGTCACTTAGAAGGGAAACAATCAAATAATTGAAGTATAATACAATAAAATTCTCACGACGTTTCGACTGCAACACAAGCAATCATCATCAGGTGTGAAAACCACAGCAAGAAAATTTAAAAAAGTGGCGTTTTTTTAACGTTAGCACCACGGAGAGCGATTTGGCAGTTATTCAGGTGGACGAGTCCTTCTATGTTCGGAAAAGAGGAGGTGGGAGACGAAAATAATGGATGCCGTCTGAAAGCCACCATGAACGCGAACAATCAAGACCCGAAATGGTTTATCAAATCCTTCCAATGATTACTAAGCCAGAATCCATCTTCTCGGTTGAAATTGTCTCTGTGTTTGTATATGTGGATAGACTCATGGAGAAATTTGAGACTGACACCATCCAGACTGCCACTCTGTGCCCAACCTCATGGAAGAGGTCCGTGGATGACACTTTTGTCATCTGGCCACATGGCCAGCCTGCTCTAGACCAATTCTTCGACCACATCAATTCCATACACCCAGCCATCAGATTTACCATGGAACTCGAAAAAGATGGCAAGCTACCTTTTTTGGATGTCCTAATAAAAAAGAGATCTGATGGTTCAATGAGCCACTCTGTCTACAGGAAAGCTACCCATACGGATGTTTACCTGAAACCGGATTCCCACCACCATCCATCCCAGATGAATTCCCTCAACTAGACTCTGCACCATAGAGCCCAATGCATATCCGACCAGGAACACATAGCCAGTGAACTCAAGCACGGACACCAAGCTCTTAAGGCTAATGGTTACTCCGACTACACAATCCGCAAATCTATCACTCCAACCATGAAGAAGGACCCTCTTGAGGAGCCTTTCAAAACCATCACTTTACCCTACATTGCGGGGATCACAAAAAATATCTCCAAAATCTTGAATAAACACAAGATCCAGGTCCGATTCAACACATTACATAAAATCCGTGATCTAGTTCCGTCTGCAAAAGATGAGATTCCGGACATACAGTACCCTGGCGTCTACAAACTAAGTTGCCTCTGTGGTAGTAGTTACATTGGAGAAACCAAACGCCATGTCTCGGACCGCATTCGTGAACACAAAGCAGACCTAGAACACGGTAGGACCAACACCTCGGCCGTGGCAGATCACTGTTATAATTCAGTAGGCTCACATGACAGTGACTTCTCCAAGACAGAGGTTATTTGCAAGCCATCTGGCTACCATGAGAGATTCGTTCATGAGGCTATCCACATATACAAGCACAGAGACAATTTCAACCGAGAAGATGGATTCTGGCGTAGCAATCATTGGAAGGATTTGATAAACCATTTCGAGTCTTAATTGATTGTTCACGCTTACAGTGGCTTTCAGACCGCATCCATTATTTTCGTCTCCCCTCTCCTATTTTCCGAACATAGATGGACTCGTCCACCTGAATAACTGCCAAATTGCTCTCCGTGGTGCTAACGTAAAAAAAACGCGATTTTTTTCAAATTTTCTTGCTGCGGTTTTCACACCTGATGATGATTGCTTGTGTTGCAGTTGAAACGTCGTGAGAATTTTATTGTTTTATATTTTTATTATTTTTTTGTTTCTCTTCGTGACTTTACTGAAAGAACCAAGAATATAATATATTCACACCTATATTCTTGCTGTGTTTTTCACACCTGATGATGATTGCTTGTGTTGCAGTCGAAACGTCGTGAGAATTTAATTGTTTAACATTTTTATTATTTTATTGTTTCCCTTCTACGTGATTTTACCGAAAGAACCAAGAATATCCATCCCTGCAGTCACGAAAGCTTTAAATCTTCACACCTGTTTTATTGCCAGAAAGGGAAAAACCTATTGTTATGACTGATGTTGATGAGGCATTGAATGTCGAAACCGGTCCAGAGATTTTTACTTGAGTTGAAACCAACTGAACTTATGCACGCCCAGGCTTCCCTGTACCGGTTAATGGGATGTGTAAAAAAAAAATGATATGTGGAGAGACAGAGATGTGAAGGAGACGTCGTCTGCTCGTGTATTTTGTTAATTAAAATCAGACTCGCCCTTGAATTCTGATTATCTGTGTTACGAAAATCACATTGGCATTATTAACAGCAGCAGCAATTTCATGAACATCCTGATCATCAGGAACATCAGCATGATGATGATTTGCACGGTTGCCTACGTACGGTGCGATAGAAATTCGACATTCATCATCATCATGAATTTTATTACCATCATCATCATGAATTTTATTACCATCATCAACATCAATTTCATGAACATTCTGATCATCATCAGGAACATCAGCATCATCAGCATCATCATGGATTTAATTACCATCATAACGTCAATTTCTATATTATGAACATCGTCAGCATTATCATGATTGCTATCGCTTAGCGATAAGGGAAATAGGAGGGTGGGAGGAGTGGGGGTGAGTGGTGATGAGAGACGGAATAATTCCCCCCTCGCCCTACACTCCCCCCCTCCTTCCCCCCCCTCCTTCCCCCCCCTCCTTCCTCCCCCCTCCCTCCTCCTCCCTCTCCTCACGCCCCCCGAGGCTGGTAATCGGTGAGTGATAATTGAAGGTGTGACGCTCAGGGATTACGAGTATCGCGAACCAATTAGGAGTTAATTGGTTTGTGTTAGAATACAAATTGGGCTATATTTATAACTGTGTGTGTGTTATTTATAGGTGTGTGTGTGTCAGTGTGTATGTATAGTGGTAGTGTAGCGGTTGTCGCGCTGCGCTACGAACCTGGCGACCCGAGTTCGATTCTCGCTCACGGCAACCAACACCGATGACGATTATCTGAACCGGTCCTGGACCTATCCTAGGTTGGCTCAGCCTCAAATGAGTACCTGGTGCGGTGTGCAAACATCGCCACTAGGGAGACAAGGGTGGCCGGGCGTGGTTGCTGGCACACTCACTCCCTCGTGTGCCGTGCCGGCCTTCATAGGTGCTCGCTAACAGCTCTTGCCCCAACAGTCTGTCAAGGCTAAACGGGTGATCATTGTCTTTTGTATAGTATCTGCGTTTGTTATGGAGGGCGGTGGCGGAGCGGTGAGCGCAGTGCGCTATGAACCCAGCTTTCTCGCGTTCGATTCCCGGTCAAGACTAAAATCAGTGGCGAATGTGACATCTGAACCGAGTCCTGGATCCCTGTGTGGTGAAGTATGGTGAAGCAACATCTGCGGCCGACTGGGGCTTTGGGAGACCTTCACCCAGCAGTGGATTGATAAAGGGGCTGGTAGGTTATTATGAAAACGATGTCCGAATCATCTGCAAATGTTACATTGAGGGCCGATGGCGAGCAAGACGAATTATCCGGCGATGCGGCGGCTGCTGCTGCTGCTACGTCGGCAGTTTTGCACAAGCACAGCCTACAACACAACTCCACGCGTTCACTGTCAATAACGCTTCGTGCGTGTGATCTAAAAACGAAGCATCTGTAATAGGCGACGTTTCGGGCAATGGTCCTTCTTGACCCTTCGTGTGTTAAAAAGAAGGCCTATTCAGCAATACGTCGCCTGTTTTAGATATCTTTTTTCTCTATTAAGGCCACACTTTGCATTAATTACAAACGGCATTGATTTTATTTTGTTGCGAATAATTGCAGTGTTGCCGTGATGTAGTTTTTCACCACATGCTACGATCTTAATTTCTACGATATGACGATTATCGCGATACCAGTCTTCCCACACGTTTGTAATCGCAATTCGCCTATTTTGTATCATATTTTTTATGCCGCTGCGTTTTGCTGTACTGTACTTCTAGTCCGAATAAATAGTCACTGTCGAGTCTCTTAACTGATGTTCATTCACCATGAGGCCCTGCCATGAGTATTCTGATCTTTGCAGCTGGTAACGCAAAGCCCCACCGAGTAGCTATTTAAGACAACATTTAACAATTGACTGTTATCACATAAATGTTCCGGTCAGAAAAGAACACACTTCATGTTCTTAACGGACGATAATGTATTCATGTTGAACTTCTTCATAATCACGATGTGGCGATTTCTTTTTTTTTTAACGGATGATACGATTATTGTGCGCCTTGTACCATCTATTATTTTATTGCTTTTTATGACTACTACTATTATTATACAGCCGCTCTCAGAGGAATTGTGGTAATCGTAAAGCCAGCCACCTCACCACCTACCTCTACTGACCCCACGCCTAACCCCTACTGACCCCACCCACCCTAACCCCTATTGACCCCACCCCGAACCCCTACTAACCCCACCCACCCCTATTGACCCCACCCCTGCCCCTACTTCGCACCCCCCTCCCCCACATTCCACAACCCCCACCTCGACCCAAACCGGCCCGACCCCATGTCCAGAGGAAGGGGCGGGACCTAACCAGAAGGAGGCAGGACCTAAAATAGAAGGTGGAGGGGAATGCAAATGAAAGGTGCAGAACCGAAAGGCTCCACCCCGGGAATAATGTATAAGGGGCGGGGCCAAAAGAGGAAGGGGCAGGCCTATAGAGGTTGAGATACCCTGTTGATTTCAACAAAGAACGTGCAAAAGGCACAATACCTTTCGTGCCGGAGATGCAAACTTGTCCCAGTGTATTTGGACAGAAACAGTGGCTTTCTCTGTTACACGAAGACACGTGTACCCACACTGCTCACATCACGTCGTGTATTCCATATGCGTGTAGATAATCCAGGTGAGGAGACACACACACGCGTAACCAACAACATACTATCACAAATCAGGATCTCTCCGTTGCTGATTGACATAAGACTGAAAAGTTGTCATCACCTGGCATGGTCTTGCGATGCAACAATCCATATCGCGCCTACATACGCTCTGATTGTATCGCTCCATCTCCGTGGTGGATGTGTTCCGCTCCTCTCGTATGTGTTCCCTTCCTGCGTAAGCCCACTTTCTTTTCTTAAGTTTTCTGTTCCATGTGTTCATCACTATGCAATTTCCATCTTACACATCATCATCATCATCTGAGTGATGAAGTTTGACGCGTCTCTAACATACATATGTTATCCAATCTGTGCTCCTCTTCCTGTCTCTTAAGTCGAATTCCAAAGGACGCGCCTCACCACTTTTCATCTTTTGTTCATCTACATCTCCCCGTGATTGCACAAATCATCGAACATCCTCCTCACCCGTCTCCATCTCTGTGCACCACGTACGGGACGTGCGGTTCACAACGGCCTCTGCCACCGACGAGAGAGTTGCCGAAACAGACAAATGAGTGGCAACCCAGAGGTAGGTGCGCAAGAGGAAGGTGCTGGTGGTGGCGACATTGGACGAGGGGTCCTTGAAGGACCTGTCGACTGTGCGCGGAGAAGAAGACTCCAACACCAAAATTGTGATATACGGGACGCATTGTCTATTCGCCAAGAAGGTGATCGAGACTAGAACTAAACAGACATGGCAGTGGTGACAACAATGTCAGAGTAAGACCTTGACAGACGGTGAAAAGGAAGGAATCGATGGCGAGGCACGCCCAGTCCCTCACTCGGCAAGGTCCGCACGCCTCATGTTCTGCGAACGCCACGCACATGTGAACACCAGGCAGAAGGCTCGACGGAAGGCCCGGTTGAAGGCCGGATAGAGGATGGGATTGAGCGCTGAATTCACGTACCCCAGCCACGTTGCAGCCTCCCACACCCATGGGCTCGGCCAAGAACCCCGTGAAGGGGTCGAGCAAGGTGAGCGAGAAGAAGGGCAGCCAGCAGATGACGAAGGTGCCCATGATCACGCCCAAGGTCTTGGTGGCACCGCGCTCCCGTCTCTGGTCCCGTCCCTGCTCCGGTGGAGAGTCGATGTCGCAACGTTGCCGCGCCACGGACGACACCGAGATGACGTTGCGAACGGCCCGGGCCTGGCGCAGCGCCACCCGATAGATGCGCATATAGGTGACCACCATGATGAAGCTCGGCCCGAAGAAGCTGCAGGTGGAGCCGGCTATGGCGAAGGGGGCATTCATGAAGAAGGCGCAGGCATCTGGGCAGGACAATGAGGCCACCAGTTCCTCGATGCCCACCGTGTTCCACCCGAGCAAAATGGGGCCTACGGCCAGCAGGGCCGAACCCACCCAGCAGAGGGCCAGCAAGGAGGCCGCGCGACCGGCTGTGAGGCGCTGGTGGTAGCGCAGGGGGTCACAGATGGCCGTGTGGCGGTCGAAGGCGATGGCGCCCAGGTGTGCGATGGAGGCCGTGCTCAAGAGGACGTCGAGGCACGTGTGCACCTTGCAGAAGGTTCGCCCGAAGAACCAGCAGCCGTACAGCGAGCGCGTGGCGCTGAACGGCATGACCAGGAGTCCGACCAGAAGGTCGGCCACGGCCAGAGACAGCGTGAAGGCGTTGGTGCGGGTCTGGAGTTGTCTGCCGGTAGACAGACGGGAGGGCAAGAGTCGGGGATGTTAGTCTTTGGGAAAGATGCAAAATACCTGGAAGGCTTAACTAGGACACGTGGTGAGCTGAAAGCCTCTCCCTCCGCCCTGCCTACTTCGTAATGCCCACGACCACTTGATCACTCGCCCCGCACACACAGAGAGTGGCTTCTTCGCTGACTTCTGTTTAATCGACAGTTAAAATTAAACATTCCTGGCTGAGACGATAATCACGTTACCAGATGTCTTTATAGGCGAGCTTTACTAAAAGTGGCGATCCTTCGGTACCGCTGCTCGCTGCCCCGTCTCGTTCTAATCACGTGAAAGTTATAAATTATATTTAGTCTTACGCAACACGTTCAGGGGCTGGATGCCAATCTCGAGGTCTGCTGGCCATGAGAAGTCTTCAGGAGGTAATTCGTTGGGTTTTGGTATTCAGCCGGTGAAGGAGCGCAGATGATTGTAGTTTGCTATACGGTCTATAGTTTGGGTTAATGGAACAATGATGTATTCATACTCTTTGGTTCTATTCGGTAAAGTCACGTAGGTAAAAACTAAAACAACAAAAATCACGACGTTTCGGCCACAACACAAGCGGCCTTCATCAGGTGAAGGGACCAGACTGTCTCGAGGACAGCGCTGGAGTGAAACACAGCTACGCTCAGACCGCGACCTTTAAGCTGTGTGCGAGGAAACAAGGTGCCTTGACAAAGGAATTAGCATAAAAATGAGCATTTGATTGGCCGACTTAGCATGATGAACGGTGTAGAGGTGGTGTACATGCGGGTGAACATGCCGGTTGGCGTGGGGGGGGAGGGGGAGTTTACCTATTGATGGTGTGAAAAAGGAATTTTTAAGAGCTGCGAAAGTTTGGGGTACCACTACTTGAAAAATATACTGTACCATTGAAATTAGTTTAATGTTTGGTTCGATTTAGAACATCTTTCCAATGGTTGCTTAATTTGAAACCATCTTCTCGGTTGAAATTGTGTCTGTGTTTGTAGATCTGAATTGCCTCGTGAACAAATCTCTGATAAAAACACGTGGGTTTGCAAGGAACCTTGGTATCGGAGAAAATTATATCGTGATCACCCACAGCGTTGTAACAGTGATCAGCTACGGCAGAAGAATTCGAAAAGATGTTCTAAATCGAACCAAACATTAAACTAGTTTTCAAAGGTACAGTATATTTTTCAAGTAGTGGTACCCCAAACTTTCGTAGCTCTTAAAAATGCCCTTTTCACACCATCAATAGGTAAACTCCCCCTCCCCCCCTCGCCAACCGGCATGTTCACCCGCATGTACACCACCTCTACACCGTTCATCATGCTAAGTCGGCCAATCAAATGCTAATTTTTATGCTAATTCCTTTGTCAAGGCACCTTGTTTTCTTGCACACAGCTTAAAGGTCGCGGTCTGAGCGTGGCTGTGTTTCACTCCAGCGCTGTCCTCGAGACAGTCTGGTCCGTTCACCTGATGAAGGCCGCTTGTGTTGTGGCCGAAACGTCGTGATTTTTGTTGTTTTATTTTTTACCTACGTGACTTTACCGAATAGAAACAAAGAGTATGGATCCTTGCAGTCACGAAAGCTTTAAATCTAGAATTGATAACCTCTACGGGGAGGGCTTTCACCTATCTGTTAGAGCTTTTAACAGACAACGGGACGAGAAGTCACAGCTCATCGAGACGCTGACCTTCCTCAAAAGATGCCGCGATCACAAGGTAATACCCATCGCTTTCACACTCACTTCTGCTGCTGTATCTTCTCCGAATTCTAATCAGATTCTGTTTAAGGCCAGCCTATCTTAAATCTCAGAGAGGATAAGGCTACTCCGATTTGAACTCGATATCTTAGACAGGACTCTCCTACAAGCTCATTTAATGTTAACACGAAAATGTCACCTTATGATTGGAATCACGTAGACAAAATGACTGCTTCTTCTGCTGATTCACTGTCAGTCAAATGTAAAGCTAACCTGATTTCTAAATTCAACCACCTATCAAAGAAGAACCCAGTTCCACATATAACAAAACTAGACGTCAACAAAATCGTCATTAATCAGAGTAGCACCCCGATTTCGGACAATCTGAAAACAGTACTGGCTAGGGGACTGAATTTTGCTGTCACCCCAAAACACATACCAGTAGATGATATCATCTCTCAGGGCGATGTAGCCCTCAAAGGCGTAGGACACATCCAAGCAGACGTTACGAGAGCTGAAATAGCCACTATTCTGAAGAATGCTAAGAAACCCATTAGTAACATCAGCAAAAATGAACGCTCTGAACTCGCGAATTTAAAAAACAGAAGTGATATAGTCATCCTCTCAGCCGATAAAGGCAACGCTACTGTAATTATGGATAAAGATTCATACAACAACAAAATCCAGAATCTGCTCAACGATGGAAGTTACTCAAAAATTAAAAATGACCCTACCAATAACCTAGCATTAAAAACCAACAAGATCAGCACAAGTTCGACCTCCCTAATCGACCCAACTAAATGTCCCTCCCTAAAACCTTCTGCTGCAAGACCCCTAGATTCTATGGTCTTCCCAAGATTCATAAAGAAGGCACCCCACTACGACCCATCGTATCCACGATCAACTCCCCTACCTATAGACTAGCCCGTTTTCTGTCAGATACCTTGCTGCCTTTCACTGGCAAGACCGCCTCAGCAGTACTTTTCTCAGCCCAATTGGTCTCTATGGTCAAAGACGTTGTACTGTCCCCTGACGATATCCTTGTCAGCTTCGATGTGGTCTCTTTGTTCACCAAAGTCCCAGTACCTGATACCATTGAAATAATTTAAAATTTGGTCCAACATGGACTAGACCCCGATACACCTGCACTGGTTAGGCACTGCCTCAACAATACCTACTTTACTTGGAATGGCTCCTTCTACAAACAAAATGAGGGTACCCCATGGGATCCCCCTTGTCACCAGTGATAGCCAATATTTTCATGGAGAAATTTGAATCAGACGCCATCCAGACTTCCACCCTCAGATCTTCCCTGTGGAAGAGATATGTGGATGACACTTTCGTCATTTGGCCACATAGCCTCCCAGCTCTGAATCTTTTCCTACACCACATCAATTCCAGACATCCCGCCATCAAATTCACCATGGAAGTGGAGAAAGATGGCAAGCTACCATTCTTAGATGTTCTGTTTGAGAGGAGACCTGATGGCTCATTGGGGCATTCTGTCTACAGGAAACCCACCCACACAGATTCCTACTTGAAACCTGATTCCCACCACCACCCAGCCCAAAAGAATTATCTCATCAAAACTTTATACCATAGGCTCATTGCATTTTGGACCAACACCACCTGACCAGTGAATTAAAACATGTACACCTGGCCCTCAAAAGGAATGGATACTCTGACCGTACCATCGGCCAAGCTGTTTCTCCCTCCATACAGAAACAACCACTTGATACTCTGGTCAAAACCATCACACTACCATATATAGCAGGCGTTACTAAAAAGATTTTCAAAATTCTAAATAAACACTAGATCCAGGTCCGGTTCAATACAGTACACAAAATTCGTGATCTGATCCCATCCGTGAAGGATGTCATTCCTGACTTACAGTACCCCGGGGTTTACAAATTGAGTTGTACCTGCGGTGATTGCTAAATCGGGGTGACAAAGCGACATGTCTCTGACCGAATTCACGAGCACAAATCAGATTTGAAACACGGCAGAACGAATTCTTCTGCCGTAGCTGATCACTGTTACAACTCTGTGGGTGATCACGATATAATTTTCTCCGATACCAAGGTTCCTTGCAAACCCACGGGTTTTTATCAGAGATTTGTTCACGAGGCAATTCAGATCTACAAACACAGACACAATTTCAACCGAGAAGATGGTTTCAAATTAAGCAACCATTGGAAAGATGTTCTAAATCGAACCAAACATTAAACTCATTTTCAATGGTACAGTATATTTTTCAAGTAGTGGTACCCCAAACTTTCGCAGCTCTTAAAAATTCCCTTTTCACACCATCAATAGGTAAACTCCCCCTCCCCCCTCGCCAACCGGCATGTTCACCTGCATGTACACTACCTCTACACCGTTCATCATGCTAAGTCGGCCAATCAAATGCTAATTTTTATGCTAATTCCTTTGTCAAGGCACCTTGTTTCCTCGCACACAGCTTAAAGGTCGCTGTCTGAGCGTGGCTGTGTTTCACTCCAGCGCTATCCTCGAGACAGTCTGATCCCTTCACCTGATGAAGGCCGCTTGTGTTGTGGCCGAAACGTCGTGATTTTTGTTGCTTTATTTTTTACCTACGTGACTTTTCCGAATAGAACCAAAGAGTATGGATCCTTGCAGTCACGAAAGCTTTAAATCTAGAACAATGTATTCAAGGATTTCAAAGCCAGGAGGTGTGATGCTTGGTCGCGAATGAGGTTTTTTTGTTTGTTTGTTCTGGACGTCTATGTTGTTCGCCAGCGTTCTTCTGGATCTGAGTGAGATTCCAGGATGGTAACGGCGTGATCCGAAAAGGTTGATCGGCGCTTGAGTCGGCAGCGATGGTGCTCGTCTTGCGGCTGCAATAACCGGCGAGTTGTACCCTGAAAGTATACAATTGGTGCACTGTTGAACGACATCTGATGATTTTGGGAGGGAGATGTAGCCTTCTCGCGGACAACCTGGTATGTGTTTTCATGACACAGTAATACCCAGATTTACGTCTCCACCTTGTACATCGTTTCGCAAATAAGCCATCATTTTATTTATGCCACGACCTGATTTGGGTCACCTCAAGTCACACGTGGCTGACAGCATCATCCGTCCTTTGTCACGTCAGACTTCGCCTCCACCTACCCTTTAAATCGCTTTAACGTCATTTCAATATTCGTTGTACATTTCAGGAACGCCTCGGTTTAAACTGGGGTATTACTGTTCATTCAGGGCGCCGTACTAGCGAGATGTTAACGACCTCGCCTGGTGTAGAGGAGGACGTGGGTTCGATTCCAACCTTGACGCCTATATATTTGTAATTTGCATGTCTCTCGCCCCGTGGATTTTTTCTCCAGGTCCTCCGGATTTTCCACATTTAGAATCGACATGTGTTTGCATTTGGCTGCTGTAAATTTTCACGTGATGATAAGCCAGTTCCCTGAGCTATCATTTGTGATGGCTAGGGTCGCTTCTAACTATAAGCTATATATCCTCAGTGGGCCTTAGCTGGTAAAATGAAACGTTTAGTTTAAACACGTTACCCCTTTGACCCTCACCTGAATAAGGCGATGGAGGCCACCACGAGGAGGTTGCCCATGACCGTGAGGGTGGCGAGAGAGAAGCAGAGAAAAGCCAGCGCCCGGCTCTCCTCGGGGCCCAGCGACGGCGCGGAGCAGTTGAAGCGGCCATCATGGCTCAGTGAGCACTGCACTGCCATGGTCATGACCCCAACACCTCCTCCTGCCTTGACCTCTGACCGATAACCTTTAACTCCTAGCCAACCTGCACTTCACCCTTCACTCGTAACATTCTCGCCTTCACCCCAAACACGCTAACCTGTAATCTCTGAAACTTTCAACTTTTTAGGTCAAATTATTTCAGTGTCTTGAAGATTTTCACTTTGATCTTTAACGTTTAACATTTCATCTTTAACCATTGACCTTCCACCTTCCACCCTTAACTTAAATTTTAAGCTCTCGCTCCATTACCTTTCGACTATAAACGTTTAACCTTCTTTCCTATTCATCCCCTATTCCACGTAATGACTCAACCCTTATCTTGTCACCTTAGAACCACATAACAACTCAACCTTTCAATGGTAACAGTGAATATTTCACCAACGACCTTTCAACTTTAACCGAACGTTCACTTCGACCTGCCCGTGACCCATACCATGACCACGATTCTGATCACGACCTGTTATGACAATAAATATACCCGAGTCGGATTCCAAATCAATTTGACTTGACCTTGACCCTAACCTCAACTTAGTGTGCTACCACCTCTACCAGGCAAGGCTTCCAGTAGGGGCAGCAGCAGTGGCAGCAACTGAAGTAGCAACAATCACATAAGTAGCGGCAGTAGCAGGAACGACAGTAGACGGAATGGCGGCAGCAGGAGTCGCAGCAGTGACAGCAGCAGCAGTAACAGCGACAATATCAGCAATGTCAGTATTAGCAGCTTAAGTCGGAGCTACAAAAGTACAGCAGCAGCAGTAGTAACAGCGGCAGCAAGAGCAGCAACAACCATGGCAGTAGCGACAGCGGTAGTAGCAGCAATAACAGCAGCAGCAGTAAAACTGAATAAAAACAGTATTTTCTCAATCCACTGCTGGATGAAGGTCTCCCCAGGTTGTTTGACCATACTTCACCACGCGGATAGGTGCCGGACCAGTTCAGATATCACTCGCCACCGATGCTAGCCATGACCGGGAATGGAACCGAGGTCATCGCGTTCAGGGCGCAGTCCGCTAACCACTGCGCCACCGCTCCACTCCCGACAGCAAGAGTAGAAGCAGCAACGACAGTTGCAATCACAGCCTCAAGAGTCGGGTCTGTTGGGAAAGACAAGATTACAAAGTTAGTACTTTCAATGAGTGAGTGAGTGAACGAAAGTAAATGAATGAATTATTCCAGTTGTCAACAGGTGAGGGCAACTTTAGATAAAGCAAGATTTCGTCACCTCCTCTAAGAAGACTCGGGATTAAAAAGAAAGGTTAACATGGGGTGGAGCGGTGGCACAGTGGTTGGCGCATCGCGCCGCGAACCTGCCCACCCAAGGTCGATTCCGTGCCATGACTACACGAACCCGCACTGATCCGCCACTGATAATTATCCGTGGCCGGGAATCCAACTCAGGTGGCAGGCTTCGCAGAGAAGCGCTCAAATCACTCCGCTCCTTCACTCTTTCCATTCTCTTTTATTTGCGAATTTACCCAGGAAAGTCCTAGTGAGCCCAAAGATGTTTGGCCAATGCCAGTTACATCTGTGAAAAAGAGCTTTAGAGCTCATCGGATTCCTCCAGCACAGATAAAGATTCTGATTCTGACACCGTCCGTGTATGTTTTAGTCACGGTGAGAAAACCGCAGAACCCGGAGGAGACCCATGCGGAACAGGCGGAGAGAATACAAACTCCAGACGTGTCGTGGTTGGGCACGAGTGGGGCGACCACTGCGCCACCGCTCTTCTCTTCTACCGGCGAGCGCGAGGGCCCGAACCAGGGGACGACTCTCCCCGCCAGTCTGGGACTCACCCCTCTGGCGCGACACGCGCTTTATCCTGCGTGACTGCCCACGTGACTGTCACCCCCCACCCCGTCTGTCCCCCACCCCCATGACACCTCCCCACCCTCCGCCCCCCGGGACTGATACTCCACCGCACTGCCCTCTCTACTCTTTTACAGCTCCCCTACACCCTTATCAACCGAGTCCCCCCCCCACCTCCATGACTGTCACCACCCCTCCCCCGCCCATGACAGCCCCCCAATGTTAATTTCCGTCCTCCCCCCCCCCCGAGACTGACTCTTCAACCACCTCTCCCCCCTTTTCGTGACAGTCCCCGCCCGTAATAACTCCGCTACTCCTAATTAACTGGCCCCCACCTCCTCCACCTCTTCCGTCAAAGTTGCCCCGACTCGGAATGTGACAACCGCGCTAACTATACACGCACCTCCGATGAGCACGGTTGGCTACGTACGGTTCAAAAGAAGGTCAACATCCATAATAGCAGGACCTCACGGAACCTAAACGCGCGTTTAGAGTATTTGGCTACTGCTATAAATTTCCACGTGATGAGTCACTTCGTTGAGCTTTCATTTGTGGCTAGGTCACTTCTGGAAAAGAACTACATAGCTCCCTCGGCTTTATCTGGTTAAATTAAAAAGGTTAGATTTGTTTAAATCAACCCAAGAAGCTCCTTTAAAGTCACGTAGGTACATGTACCTGATACCATTACAATAATTGAAGAATTGCTCCAACAGGGACTGAATCCTGATGTACCAACTTTGGTAAGACACTGCCTTACCAACACTTACAGTGAGGGAAAAAAGTATTTGATCCCCTGCTGATTTTGTACGTTTGCCCACTGACAAATAAATGATCAGTCAATAATTTTAATGGTAGGTTTATTTGAACAGTGAGAGACAGAATAACAACAACAAAAATGCAGAAAAACGCACGTCAAAAATGTTATCAATTGATTTGCATTTTAACGAGGGAAATAAGTATTTAACCCCTCTGTAAAATATGACTTAGTACTTGGTGGCAAAACCCTTGTTGGCAATCACAGAGGTCAGACGTTTCTTGTAGTTGGCCACCAGGTTTGCACACATCTCAGGAGGGATTTTGTCCCACTCCTCTTTGCAGATCTTCTCCAAGTCATTAAGGTTTCGAGGCTGACGTTTGGCAACTCGAACCTTCAGCTCCCTCCACAGATTTTCTATGGGATTAAGGTCTGGAGATTGGCTAGGCCACTCCAGGACCTTAATGTGCTTCTTCTTGAGCCACTCCTTTGTTGCCTTGGCCGTGTGTGTTGGGTCATTGTCATGCTGAAATACCCATCCCCGACCCATTTTCAATGCCCTGGCTGAGGGAAGCAGGTTTTCACCCAAGATTTGACGGTACATGTCCCCGTCCATCGTCCCTTTGATGCGGTAAAGTTGTTCCGTCCTCTTACCAGAAAAATACCCCCAAAGCATAATGTTTCCACCTCCATGTTTGACGGTGGGGATGGTGTTCTTGGGGTCATAGGCAGCATTCCTCCTCCTCCAAACACGGCGAGTTGAGTTGATGCCAAAGAGCTCCATTTTGGCCTCATCTGACCACAACACTTTCACCAAGTTGTCCTCTGAATCATTCAGATGTTCATTGGCAAACTTCAGACGGGCATGTATAGTGTGTTCCCAATTGTTTTCTTGGTGACTATGGTCCCAGCTGCCTTGAGATCATTGACAAGATCCTCCCGTGTAGTTCTGGGCTGATTCCTCACCGTTCTCATGATCATTGCAACTCCACGAGGCGAGATCTTGCATGGAGCCCCAGGCCGAGGGAGATTGACAGTCCTTAGTGATTCTTCCATTTGCGAATAATCGCACCAACTGTTGTCACCTTCTCATCAAGCTGCTTGGCAATGGTCTTGTAGCCCATTCCAGCCTTGTGTAGGTCTACAATCTTGTCCCTACTTGATTTGATGCTTTCGTGACTGCAGGAATTACTCTTTGTTTTTTTTCGGTAAAGTCACGTATAAATAAGAAATAATAAAAATAAAATTACATAATAGTATACATACGACGTTTCGATTGCAACGCAAGCAATCATCATCAGGTATAGAAGAGCTAAATTTAAGAGAGAGAGGAAACACAGAGAGATGGAGAAGGACATAAAATTGAACAAGATTTAGTAAAATTTGGAAACAATATAATGCCACACAGAGGGTCGGTCAAAACACAATTAACGCATGGTCTGGCTGATTACGTTATTTCAAAGATTGCTCAATTATAGGTTAAGAGTGATAGAGTACAGACACAGACACATATATAGACATCCAAGCAGAGAGAGCCAGCACAGAGACACAGAAAGAGACACACACATGGGACAAATGAAACAATGCTTCTGAGTCGAAGCCTTAAATAGAGGGGAATGGAGGGGGGGGGGAGCAAAGGAATACAAATTAGCATGGACTGGGAGCCACCGCACACGGACCATTCCCCACCCCCACCAACACAGAGCGGAGATTTTTTAGATATAACAAGCTCTCGACAGTTCAACGAGACAACAGCTTGGCGAGAGCCAGAAGAGGGCGGCGGGCGGCTGGCTCCAAAGGGCCCCGCGATCAACTGAGAATGGCGAGGCTCGCCGAGTAGCGATGTATCAACGAGCATGAGTTCAGAGCTGAAAGACGAAGTATCGCTCAAAGACTTTTATTTCTACATCGAGTGCCAGCTTCCAGCTGCAGCGCGACCAGCGCCACCAAGCAAGAGCGTCTGCTGCCAGCGGCCAAGCGTGTGCCGACTCGGCTCATCCAGCAGTGGAAAGAGCCTGACCAGCCGCCCGTGAGCAAAAGAGTCAGCGAACCAGCGAAGAGCGTGATCGTTCGCATCTCCACAGAGAGAGCGCGTGCGTAGCTACTACAGCAGTGGAAAGAGCCTGCTGCTGCCAGCGAACCAGCGGCCAAGCGTGTGCCGACTTGACTCATCCAGCAGCGGAAAGAGCCTGTATCTGCCAGCATGAGCAGCCAAGCCGACGCCCTGAACAAGAGAACAAAGCAGTTCCTATCACCCTCCCCCACACTCACACCCTCACGACGCATCACCCGGCGTCTGCTTCATGAAGACACACAACACGCATATCGGGACAATCAAGAAGAGTGACATTCCAAGGTGGTGCATTAAATATCACCTGATCGTGAAGAACATTGCTGCCATTGAGTTACGTGGATAAGGTAATTTAGAAGAAACTCAGTCGTACATTTTTTCGTTTTCTTTTTAATGGCATAATCTTGCTAATGAATCCATTGACGTATACTTTTGCCTTTGGGGAATAATAATTGCTATGACCGCCCTTTCGCATGAATATCATCGGATGAACTTTTAAGGACTTTATTCGTATTTTCCATATGCTCGTGGTACCCAGAGGAAGTAATCAATTGTTCCTTTATCCAATTAACGTGATTATTGAGGGTTGAAGAGATGGATCAATGAATTGAACATCGCTGGTAACACTGTGCTGACAATTTCAAGTAGAAGAATTTGCATATTAGAGTGTTAAGGTTTTTGTTTAGAATAGCGTGCATGCATGTTTTAACGACTCTATCACCAATTAAGCTCGCGTTACGCGGTGGAATTAATCATATGTGCGGTTGCCAAACTGAAACAACGCAATCGTTGATGTTTGCTGGGTTGATGCTGTCTTGAAAATTCCAAGCTTGAGGGTTCGCATATAATAACGTTAAAGTTTCGTTTAGAATAAAATTGATTAACGCAGAAGTGGTTGCGTGTTTCTTTCCTGAAGTCCATGCATAATCTTATTTACAAGAACTGTATTCTGCGTTAAGATCTGAATTTGGAGACCTGACATAAACACACTAATACACTCAGTAAATGTTAAATCAAGAATAAATGTATTGCCGAGCGTTAATACGAAGTTAAACAACAAAGCGAGTTACACTGGCATAACTTCATACGATTAATTGTCTTATTCCGATTGACGATACGACTCTTGTCAGCGAGGCGGGGCCTAATTATCATAACGGCTTGAATTAGCATAATCACACCCACTCACATGAATTAATAAGATGATATCTTGAGTTAGCATAATTTATGCACACAATTACATCAATTAACACAATTTCGGATCATTACGTAATTTTCAAAATTTAATTAAATTTGTATTATTTTCATCAAAATTTTCATAACCGACATATACAACAACAGGTCCCTTCGGAAAAGGAGCTATATAGCTCAGTGGGACCTTACCTAGTAAAATAAAAAGTTTAGTTTAATATTTCAAGGAGGTCTAAATTTTGACTTAAAACCTTCGTGACTGCAGGAATTAATATTCGTGGTTCTTTCGGTAAAGTCACGTAGATAAAAAATTTATAATAATAGAAAAATGTAAAATAATAAAATCAAAAGGAGGTCGCTGGATTCGAACCATAAACCTCTTCCAAGAGGCGAACTAAATGGACGTGGTGGCAGTAGTGATGACACTGTGGTGCCACGACCGTGGAGCAGCTTCGCAAGTGTCACGATTGTCCACTACCCCCCACCCTGAGCACACACGCAGCACTTGCACCCACGTCGTCTCCTGGCGGGGGATTAGCTGGCACATCGGGTTTTAATCCGAAGGGCCCCGAGAGGGAGAGTCCCACAGTTTCCCGGTGCCAGGAGATTGGCCGACCCTCACAGGACAAGTTACATTGCAGTGCCCCTAAATTGGCTTAAAATTGTATGGGCGCAGAAGGAAAAGGTTGACTGGGCCAACCGCAATAATTTATGCACGACATTGGGAGAGGCTGAGGGTGGAATATTAGGCAAGAAGGGCAGACCAGTAAGTTAGAATTAATGAGCACGGGAGAACAATGGGTGAACGGAGCAACAGCACACTCTGTGGCACTCCATGTAGAGAAGGTCGAAAGGCACAATGGCGCAGGTAAACGCACGATTGGACGTGCCGTACGTCACCGTGGGCCTTTGAAGTGAGGGGATTAGGCCACGGTAGAGACGGTGGAGAGGGACGATGGTGCAGGTAAGCGCACGATTGGCTGCGCGGTACGACGTCACCCTGGGCCTTTGAAGATTAGAGAATAAAAAGAGTAGCCTAGGACGATTTTAGGGGATTTGTCTTCAGCCTCCAGGCCATCAAGACTCACTCCCTGCCGTCCTACCTCTTCGAGCCGCTCGCAGCATCCGTGTGATGCCAGCGAGTGTTGCTACGAGGCAGTGATAGGTAACGTTTTCTGTCGTCCTTCTCCAACTCTCACAGCGTCCGTGCGACGCCGTGAGTTACAGCTACGGGGTAAGTGGTAGGGCGTTTGAGTGACTGTGTTCGTAGGAAGAATTAGGCTAAGCTCTTCTCGCAAAACGTTCCCCGTCCAGGTAGTGTGTATTTGCGCCGTTAATAAACTTTAGTACGGAGTAATCGGTGCAGTGCGATTTGTGTGTGTGTGTGGGTGGAACCTTGGCGTGGTGTTGGTAATTTGAGTGTGTGCGAGGCGCACGCCTGGATTAAAACATAGACGGCCGCCGACGTGCAAGCAGCCATGCCGCGCGAGTATTAAGGCGGGGGCGGGGTGCATCAAACCCGCTCGCCGACGCTCGCGCATGTTTACACGCGCGCGTGTGTGTGAAACGAGCGCCTGCAGGGGCACGCGCGCTCACGCCACCGCGCGCGTTTTTTGTTGTTGTTGTGAGGTGGTGCACGCGGGAGTGTGCGGGATAACCCCGGGCGGTGGTGAGCCAGCCAGTGAGCTCTGTCCCTCAGAGGGCACTGGCGCGGGGGGGCCGATCACCCGATCGGCGGGGGGCCCGGCGAGAGGCGACCAACGAGGGGGAGGAGGGAGTGGAGGGGGCGGATATCGCGCCCCGCCCGCCCAGCGGGGACGGGGGGCGGGCGTCTATCTCCACGACACTATCGGCAGCACACACAGCACAAGATGTGTAGTTAATAATGGCTGAGCCAGAGGTGTCGGTCTTCCCCCTTCTCGCACCGCCACGTCCACCCACACGGTAGAGTAACACCACAGCTTTTTGTAATTGTTTTGTTATTTTCTTTGAACCTATCTACGTGACTTTACCGAAAGACGCAAAGAATATGAATTCCTGCAGTCACGAAAGCTTTAAGTCAATATTTAATTATTTATCAATTAAGCAATACATATGTTGCACTTCCAGAATGTTGAGTTCGGTTTCAGACTGGTGGCTACAGATTTATTTATTTCTTCGCTCCCTGCACGGTAGAGAGGGAGCACTTTGTTGCGGCGACTTCAAAACCGTGTTTATTAGCGCAGACAATTACAGGCTCTGCACACACAGGGGCACACGCTTCTTTTGGTGCTTCCGCCTGTGCTGGCGCTGCCAGCGCCACTGCCGCTGGCAGTTCTGCTCCTGCTGATCGCACCTGCGCTGCCGGTGCTGGCGCTGGCAGTGCTGCTGCTGCCGGGTTCCGCTGCTGCTGCTCGTACCAGTGCTGTCACGGCTGGTACTGCTGCTTCTGCTCGCGCTGGCAATGGTGGTACTGCTGCTTGTGTTGATCGTGCCCACACTGCTTCTGCTCCTCCTGCCGCACCCAGTGGTGTTCACCTGGGCTGCCTTTATAGAGGGTGCCCCCCCCCCCCCACCCTGCCTTTGTCTTGGCCAGGACCGGTCTCAAAATCCTCTAGTTGTGATGCCTCTTGAGCAAAATGAACTCCCCCCGCCCAGACCTAGGGGTTTCACTGTATTGTCTCGCACACATTCTAAAATGGGGGTGGAGGACTTAGCACAATCCATTGTGCTACACGTAACTAAGTATAACTCAAAGCAAGAGTCAGGCTCCAACTAAGTCAATAGACCTAAATAATTGCGGCCCAACATTTAACAATATTAACACTGCAAATTATATCAATAACTATTTGATACTATTATATTTGCACACTATCACACTTATCAAACTATTAACAAATAAGTGTACCTATGAATCAAACCTGTAATGTTGACGTGCTGGCGTCACGATTGTCCCCCCGATACAGATCTCCCTCTCTTCAAAATCCTTAGGGAAGACATCTCATAGCATTAATCTTACATATTTGATTTGTTAAAATACGAATAGAAATTCAACCATTAGCTACATTTGCAAGTTCACCTATATCAGATGTATTTTATAAATCATAAATGTGTTAATGGTTATTTTATTATTAAGGATGGCAACAAATTAAATTTGAATAGTTAAGCAAAATCTATGCCAGCTCACCTCTTCCAGTGGTCACGTGACTCTGGCAACTGAGTCACGTGCCTTCCTATTCTGAGAGGTTGACGAAGGGCGTGGCCTATCCTAAGCCAACCGTGACCCAGAAACATTAACAAGGTTTAATAACCACTAATGACCTTGTACTGCAAATATATGCACCATCTATTTAGTAACACAACCACACCGGTTACACAAGGTAAGAAAAGTTAGACTGATAAGCCTCCAGTTCTTTGTCGCATTGGCTCGGGATCACTTTCATTAGGCAGGTTGAGTTCGACTTTGTAATTCTCAGGCTCACCTGTATCTCTGTTCTCCGGATTGTTGTCACCTTGTGTCTCTCGGTGTGGTCCTGTGTGTCTCATTGTGACTCACTCTGCCTCCATGTTTCTGTCCTTACGTTTATCTCTATCTCTCTCACTTTGTGTCTGTGTTACTGTCTCACTCTGTGTCTCTCTGTGTGTCTCTGCTTCACTCTCTTTGTCTCTGGCTCTAGGTCTCTAGTTAATAGTTGTTAAACAATAACACGCTAAATACCACGTCTATAAAAAAAAGAAATCACTCAGACATCACTGTGGCCAATAAAAAAATCCCTATTTAGATGCTTCGGCTGAAATTCCACGAAATAATGTAGAACTTAAAATTCCAAAACTGTTATGCTTCCCATGCACACTGAGTGTGGACTGCGTTGAGCGGTGCAGGGCCGATAGCCCAGGGGCAGCCGTCCTTGAGGAGACGTCTCGCAGGGAGGGCGCCCAGGCAACCACGTGGGAAACAGGCCTTGCCACAGCACCGTCAATGGTATCCTGGGAGGCTCGGCTAAACGCTCAGCCTTCTTCTTGGTGGTGAGTATCAGCCCCCTCACTATCTTTTCCAGCTATCTAGACGGAACAACCTCACTTGGTGAGTATTTTAACTTAAACAATTTTTCCAGGTGCAGGTTCTTCCAGCCCGGGGAGCAGCACGTGATTTCCGGGCAAGGTGCTGCCACCAAACCCAAGCACCGCCCCTTTTCTAGAACACTCTCTCCTTACTTCTCCCCACTCCCTGCCTTAACAACCAGGTCCTACTTGACTATCTGCTTCATACCCCAGACTGTGGGGGTGAAATGGTCGAAGCGGGAGGGGCTAGAAACGTCGAGGGCTTGCGACCTGAGTAGCTACCCATTGCAGCTATCACAGTGGTCTCTGCTAAAGACGACAGAGTTACCAAAACAAAGGGGTGGCACCCAGAGGTCGGCGACGAAGCGGAAGGTGGTGGTGAGATCGGTCCAATACCAAATTTTTATAAACGCGACGCATTGTCTGTTCACCAAAAGAATAATCTATACTTGAACCGAACGGACGTGGCAGTGGTCACATTGTTAGAGTAATATCTTGACAGACGGTCAGATGTCAATATTGCATAGAAGGAAGTTATGGTGAAGCGCGCCCCATCCTTCACTAGGCTAGGTTGGCGCGCCTCACGTTCCGCGAACGCCATGCACATGTGAACACCAGGCGGAAGGCCTGACGGAAGGCCCGGTTGAAAGCTGGGTAGAGGATGGGATTGAGCGCTGAATTCATATACGCGAGCCACGCAGTCGACTCCCATACCCAGGGTTCAGCCAAGAACCCCGTGAATGGGTTGAGCAGGGTGAGTGAGAAGTAGGGCAACCAGCAGGTGACAAAGGCCACCATGATTATTCCCAAGGTTTTGGTGGCACTTCGATCCCGTCTCTGGTCCGTTCTCTTTTCCGGTCTTGAGTTGATGTCGCAATGTTCCCATGCCACGGACGACACTGAGATGAGGTTGCGAACAGCCCGCGCCTGGCGCAGTGCCACCCGGTAGATGCGCATATACGTGACCACCATGACGAAGCTCGGAACGAAGAAGCTGCAGGTGGAGCCGGCTATGGCGAAGGGGGCATTCATTAAGAGGACACAGGCGTCTGGGCAGGATGAGGCCACCAGTTCCTCGATGCCCACCGTGTTCCACCCGAGCAGGATGGGGCCCACGGCCAGCAGGGCCGAACCCACCCAGCAGATTGCCACCAGGGTGGCCGCGCGACCGGCTGTGAGGCGCTGGTGGTAGCGGAGGGGGTCGCAGATGGCCGTGTGGCGGTCGAAGGCGATGGCGCCCAGGTGTGCGATGGAGGCCGTGCTCAAGAGGACGTCGAGGCACGTGTGCACCTTGCAGAAGGTTCGCCCGAAGAACCAGCAGCCGTACAGCGAGCGCATGGCGCTGAACGGCATGACCAGGAGTCCGACTAGAAGGTCGGCCACGGCCAGAGACAGCGTGAAGGCGTTGGTGCGGGTCTGAAGTTGTCTGCCGGTAGACAGACGGGAGGGCAAGAGTCGGGGTTGTTAGTCTTTGGGAAAGATGCAAAATACCTGGAAGGCTTAACTAGGACACGTGGTGAGCTGAAAGCCTCTCCCTCCGCCCTGCCTACTTCGTAATGCCCACGACCACTTGATCACTCGCCCCGCACACACAGAGAGTGGCTTCTTCGCTGACTCCTGTTTAATCGACAGTTAAAATTAAACATTCCTGGCTGAGACGATAATCACGTTACCAGATGTCTTTATAGGCGAGCTTTACTAAAAGTGGCGATCCTTCGGTACCGCTGCTCGCTGCCCCGTCTCGTTCTCATCACGTGAAATTTATAAATTATATTTAGTCTTACGCAACACGTTCAGGGGTTGGATGCCAATCTCGAGGTCTGCTGGCCATGAGAAGTCTTCAGGAGGTAATTCGTTGGGTTTTGGTATTCAGCCGGTGAAGGAGCGCAGATAATTGTAGTTTGCTATACGGTCTATAGTTTGGGTTAATGGAACAACAATGTATTCATACTCTTTGGTTCTATTCGGTAAAGTCACGTAGGTAAAAAATAAAACAACAAAAATCACGACGTTTCAACCACAACAAAAGCGGCCTTCATCAGGTGAAGGGACCAGACTGTCTCGAGGAGCGCTGGAGTGAAACACAGCTACGCTCAGACCGCGACCTTTAAGCTGTGTGCGAGGAAACAAGGTGCCTTGACAAAGGAATTAGCATAAACATTTGCATTTGATTGGCCGACTTAGCATGATGAACGGTGTAGAGGTGGTGTACATGCGGGTGAACATGCCGGTTGGCGAGGGGGGGAGGGGGAGTTTACCTATTGATGGTGTGAAAAGGGAATTTTTAAGAGCTGCGAAAGTTTGGGGTACCACTACTTGAAAAATATACTGTACCATTGAAATTAGTTTAATGTTTGGTTCGATTTAGAACATCTTTCCAATGGTTGCTTAATATGAAACCATCTTCTCGGTTGAAATTGTGGCTGTGTTTATAGATCTGAATTGCCTCGTGAACAAATCTCTGATAAAAACCCGTGGGTTTGCAAAGAACCTTGGTATCGGAGAAAATTATATCGTGATCACCCACAGCGTTGTAACAGTGATCAGCTACGGCAGAATAATTCGCTCTGCCGTGTTTCAAATCTGATTTGTATTCGCAAATTCGGTCAGAGACATGTCGCTTTGTCTCCCCGATATAGCAATCACCGCAGGTACAACTCAATTTGTAAACCACTGGGTACTGTAAGTCAAGAATGACATCCTTCACGGATGGGATCAGATCACGAATTTTGTGTACTGTATTGAACCGGACCTGGATCTTGTGCTTGTTTAGAATTTTGGAAATCTTTTAAGTAACGCCTGCTATATATGGTAGTGTTATGGTTTTGACCGGAGTATCAAGTGGTTGTTTCTGTATGGAGGGAGAAACAGCTTGGCGGATGGTATGGTCAGAGTATCCATTCCTTTTGAGGGCCAGGTGTACATGTTTTAATTTACTGCTCAGGTGGTGTTGGTCCGAAATGCAATGAGCCCTATGGTATAAAGGTTTGATGAGAGAATTCTTTTGGGCTGGGTGGTGGTGGGAATCAGGTTTCAAGTAGGAATCTGTGTGGGTGGGTTTCCTGTAGACAGAATGCCTCAATGAGCCATCAGGTCTCCTCTCAAACAGAACATCTAAGAACGGTAGCTTGCCATCTTTCTTCACTTCCATGGTGAATTTGATGGCGGGATGTCTGGAATTGATGTGGTGTAGGAAAAGGTTCAGAGCTGGGAGGCCATGTGGCCAAATGACGAAAGTGTCATCCACATATCTCTTCCACAGGGAAGGTCTGAGGGTGGAAGTATGGATGGCGTCTGATTCAAATTTCTCCATGAAAATATTGGCTATCATTGGTGACAAGGGGGATCCCATGGGGGTACCCTCATTTTGTTTGTAGAAAGAGCCATTCCAAGTAAAGTAGGTATTGTTGAGGCAGTGCCTAACCAGTGCAGGTGTATCGGGGTCTCGTCCATGTTGGACCAAATTTTCAATTATTTCAATGGTATCAGGTACTGGGTCCTTGGTGAACAAAGAGACCACATCGAAGCTGACAAGGATATCGTCAGGGGACAGTACAACGTCTTTGACCATAGAGACCAATTGGGCTAAGTTAAGTACTGCTGAGGCGGTCTTGCCAGTGAAAGGCAGCAAGGTATTTGACAGAAATGGTCTAGTCTATAGGTAGGGGAGTTGATCATGGATACGATGGGTCGTAGTGGGGTGCCTTCTTTATGAATCTTGGGAAGACCATAGAAACTCGCGGGTCTTGCAGCAGAAGGTTTTTGGGAGGGACGTTTAGTTGGGTCGATTAGGGAAGTCGAACTTGTGATGATCTTGTTGGTTTTTAACGCTAGGCTATTGGTAGGGTCATTTTTAATTTTTGAGTAACTTCCATCGTTGAGCAGATTCTGGATTTTGTTGTTGTATGAATCTTTATCCATAATTACAGTAGCGTTGCCTGTATCGGCTGAGAGGATGACTATATCACTTCTGTTTTTTAAATTCGCGAGTTCAGAGCGTTCATTTTTGCTGATGTTACTAATGGGTTTCTTAGCATTCTCAGAAAAGTGGCTATTTCAGCTCTCGCAACGTCTGCTTGGATGTGTCCTTCTGCTGCTGTATCTTCTCAGAATTCTAAACAGATTCTGTTTAAGGCCAGCCTATCTTTAATCTCAGAGAGGATAAGGCTACTCCGATTTGAACTCGATACTTTAGACAGGACTCTCCTACAAGCTCATTTAATGTTAACACAAAAAATGTCACCTTCTGATTGGAATCACGTAGACAACATGACTGCTTCTTCTGCTGATTCACTGTCAGTCAAATGTAAAGCTAACCTGATTTCTAAATTCAACCACCTATCAAAGAAGAACCCAGTTCCACATATAACAAAACTAGACGTCAACAAAATCGTCATTAATCAGAGTAGCACCCGATTTCGGACAATCTGAAAACAGTACTGGCTAGGGGACTGAATTTTGCTGTCACCCCAAAACACATACCAGTAGATGATATCATCTCTCAGGTCGATGTAGCCCTCAAAGGCGTAGGACACATCCAAGCAGACGTTGCAAGAGCTGAAATAGCCACTATTCTTAAGAATGCGAAGAAATCCATTAGTAACATCAGCAAAAATGAACGCTCTGAACTCGCGAATTTAAAAAACAGAAGTGATTATCATCCTCTCAGCCGATAAAGGCAACGCTACTGTAATTATGGATAAAAATTAATACAACAACAAAATCCAGAATCTGCTCAATGATGGAAGTTACTAAAAAATTAAAAATGACCCTACCATTAGCCTAGCGTTAAAAACCAACAAGATCATTACAAGTTCGACCTCCCTAATCGACCCAACTAAACGTCCCTCCCTAAAACCTTCTGCTGCAAGACCCCCTAGATTCTATGGTCTTCCCAAGATTCATAAAGAAGGCACCCCACTACGACCCATCGCATCCACGATCAGCTCCCCTACCTATAGACTAGCCCGTTTTCTGTCAGATACCTTGCTGCCTTTCACTTGCAAGACCGCCTCAGCAGTACTTAACTCAGCCCAATTGGTCTCTATGGTCATAAACGTTGTACTCTCCCCTGACGATATCCTTGTCAGCTTCGATGTGGTCTCTTTGTTCACCAAGGTCCCAGTACCTGATACCATTGAAATAATTGAAAATTTGGTCCAACATGGACTAGACCCCAATACACCTGCACTGGTTAGGCACTGCCTCAACAATACCTACTTTACTTGGAACGGCTCCTTCTACAAACAAAATGAGGGTACCCCCATGGGATCCCCCTTGTCACCAGTGAGAGCCAATATTTTCAGGGAGAAATTTGAATCAGACGCCATCCAGACTTCCACCCTCAGACCTTCCCTGTGGAAGAGATATGTGGATGACACTTTCGTCATTTGGCCACATGGCCTCCCAGCTCTGAACCTTTTCCTACACCACATCAATTCCAGACATCCCGCCATCAAATTCACCATGGAAGTGGAGAAAGATGGCAAGCTACCATTCTTAGATGTTCTGTTTGAGAGGAGACCTGATGGCTCATTGGGGCATTCTGTCTACAGGAAACCCACCCACACAGATTCCTACTTGAAACCTGATTCCCACCACCACCCAGCCCAAAATAATTCTCTCATCAAAACTTTATACCATAGGCTCATTGCATTTTGGACCAACACCACCTGACCAGTGAATTAAAACATGTACACATGGCCCTCAAAAGGAATGGATACTCTGACCGTACCTTCCGCCAAGCTGTTTCTCCCTCCATACAGAAACAACCACTTGATACTCCGGTCAAAACCATCACACTACCATATATAGCAGGCGTTACTAAAAAGATTTCCAAAATTCTAAACAAACACAAGATCCAGGTCCGGTTCAATAGAGTACACAAAATTCGTGATCTGATCCCATCCGTGAAGGATGTCATTCCTGACTTACAGTACCCCGGGGTTTACCAATTGAGTTGTACCTGCGGTGATTGCTAAATCGGGGAGACAAAGCGACATGGCTCTGACTGAATTCGCGAGCACAAATCAGATTTGAAAAACGACAGAACGAATTCTTCTGCCGTAGCTGATCACTGTTACAACGCTGTGGGTGATCACGATATAATTTTCTCCGATACCAAGGTTCTCTGCAAACCCACGGGTTTTTATCAGAGATTTGTTCACGAGGCAATTCAGATCTACAAACACAGACACAATTTCAACCGAGAAGATGGTTTCAAATTAAGCAACCATTGGAAAGATGTTCTAAATCGAACCAAACATTAAACTTATTTTCAATGGTACAGTATATTTTTCAAGTAGTGGTACCCCAAACTTTCGCAGCTCTTAAAAATTCCCTTTTCACACCATCAATAGGTAAACTCCCCCTCCCCCCCCTCGCCAACCGGCATGTTCACCCGCATGTACACCACCTCTTCACCGTTCATCATGCTAAGTCGGCCAATCAAATGCAAATTTGTATGCTAATTCCTTTGTCAAGGCACCTTGTTTCCTCGCACACAGCTTAAAGGTCGCGGTCTGAGCGTGGCTGTGTTTCACTCCAGCGCTGTCCTCGAGACAGTCTGGTCCCTTCACCTGATGAAGGCCGCTTGTGTTGTGGCCAAAACGTCGTGATTTTTGTTGTTTTATTTTTTACCTACGTGACTTTACCGAATAGAACCAAAGAGTATGGATCCTTGCAGTCACGAAAGCTTTAAATCTAGAACAATGTATTGAAGGATTTCAGAGCCAGGAGGTGATATGTTTGGTCGCGAATGAGGTTTTTTTGTTCGTTTGTTCTGGACGTCTATGTTGTTCGCCAGCGTTCTTCTGGATCTGAGTGAGATTCCAGGATGGTAACGGCGTGATCCGAAAAGGTTGATCGGCGCTTGAGTCGGCAGCGATGGTGCTCGTCTTGCGGCTGCAATAACCGGCGAGTTGTACCCTGAAAGTATACAATTGGTGCACTGTTGAACGACATCTGATGATTTGGGGAGGGAGATGGTAGCCTTCTCGCGGACAACCTGGTATGTGTTTTCCTGACACAGTAATACCCAGATTTACGTCTCCACCTTGTACATCGTTTCGCAAATAAGCCATCATTTTATTTATGCCACGACCTGATTTGGGTCACCTCAACTCACACGTGGCTGACAGCATCATCCGTCCTTTCTCACGTCAGACTTCGCCTCCACCTACCCTTTAAATCGCATTAACGTCATTTCAATATTCGTTGTACATTTCAGGAACGCCTCGGTTTAAACTGGGGTATTACTGTTCATTCGGGGCGCCGTACTAGCGAGATGTTAACGACCTCGCCTGGTGTAGAGGAGGACGTGGGTTCGATTCCAACCTTGACGCCTGTATATTTGTAATTTGCATGTCTCTCGCCCTGTGGATTTTTTCTCCAGGTCCTCCGGATTTTCCCCATTTAGAATCGACATGTTTGCATTTGGCTGCTGTAAAATTTCACGTGATGATAAGCCAGTTCTCTGAGCTATCATTTGTGATGGCTAGGGTCGCTTCTAACTATAAGCAATATATCCTCAGTGGGCTGGTAAAATGAAACGTTTAGTTTAAACACGTTATCCCCTTTGACCCTCACCTGAATAAGGCGATGGAGGCCACCACGAGGAGGTTGCCCATGACCGTGAGGGCGGCGAGAGAGAAGCAGAGAAAAGCCAGCGCCCGGCTCTCCTCGGGGCCCAGCGACGGCGCGGAGCAGTTGAAGCGGCCATCCTGGCTCAGTGAGCACTGCACTGCCAGGGTCATGACCCCAACACCTCCTTCTGCCTTGACCTCTGACCGATAACCTTTAACTCCTAGCCAACCTGCACTTCACCGTTCACTCGTAACATTTCCGCCTTCACCCCAAACACGCTAACCAGTAATCTCTGAACCTTTCAACTTTTTAAGTCAAATTATTTCAGTGTCTTGAACAATTTAACTTTGATCTTTAACGTTTAACATTTCATCTTTAACCATTGACCTTCCACCTTCCACCCTTAACTTAAATTTTAACCTCTCGCTCCATTACCTTTCGACTATAAACGTTTAACCTTCTTTCCTATTCATCCCCTATTCCACGTAACGACTCAACCCTTATCTTGTCACCTTAGAACCACATACCAACTCAACCTTTCAATGGTAACAGTGAATATTTCACCAACGACCTTTCAACTTTAACCGAACGTTCACTTCGACCTGCCCGTGACCCATACCATGACCGCGATTCTGATCACGACCTGTTATGACAATAAATATACCCGAGTCGGATTCCAAATCAATTTGACTTGACCTTGACCCTAACCTCAACTTAGTGTGCTACCACCTCTACCAGGCAAGGCTTCCAGTAGTGGCAGCAGCAGTGGCAGCAACTGAAGTAGCAACAATCACATAAGTAGCGGCAGTAGCAGGGACGACAGTAGACGGAATGGCGGCAGCAGGAGTCGCAGCAGTGACAGCAGCAGCAGTAACAGCGACAATATCAGCAATGTCAGTATTAGCAGCTATAGTCGGAGCTACAAAAGTACAGCAGCAGCAGTAGTAACAGCGGCAGCAAGAGCAGCAACAACCATGGCAGTAGCGACAGCGGTAGTAGCAGCAATAACAGCAGCAGCAGTAAAACTGAATAAAAACAGTATTTTCTCAATCCACTGCTGGATGAAGGTCTCCCCAGGTTGTTTGACCATACTTCACCACGCGGATAGGTGCCGGACCAGTTCAGATATCACTCGCCACCGATGCTAGCCATGACCGGGAATGGAACCGAGGTCATCGCGTTCAGGGCGCAGTCCGCTAACCACTGCGCCACCGCTCCACTCCCGACAGCAAGAGTAGAAGCAGCAACGACAGTTGCAATCACAGCTTCAAGAGTCGGGTCTGTTGGGAAAGACAAGATTACAAAGTTAGTACTTTCAATGAGTGAGTGAGTGAATGAAAGTAAATGAATGAATTATTCCAGTTGTCAACAGGTGAGGGCAACTTTAGATAAAGCAAGATTTCGTCACCTCCTCTAAGAAGACTCGGGATTAAAAAGAAAGGTTAACATGGGGTGGAGCGGTGGCACAGTGGTTGGCGCATCGCGCCGCGAACCTACCCACCCAAGGTCGATTCCGTGCCATGACTACACGAACCCGCACTGATCCGCCACTGATAATTATCCGTGGCCGGGAATCCAACTCAGGTGGCAGGCTTCGCAGAGAAGCGCTCAAATCACTCCGCTCCTTCACTCTTTCCATTCTCTTTTATTTGCGAATTTACCCAGGAAAGTCCTAGTGAGCCCAAAGATGTTTGGCCAATGCCAGTTACATCTGTGAAAAAGAGCTTTAGAGCTCATCGGATTCCTCCAGCACAGATAAAGATTCTGATTCTGACACCGTCCGTGTATGTTTTAGTCACGGTGAGAAAACCGCAGAACCCGGAGGAGACCCATGCGGAACAGGGGGAGAGAATACAAACTCCAGACGTGTCGTGGTTGGGCACGAGTGGGGCGACCACTGCGCCACCGCTCTTCTCTTCTACCGGCGAGCGCGAGGGCCCGAACCAGGGGACGACCCTCCCCGCCAGTCTGGGACTCACCCCTCTGGCGCGACACGCGCTTTATCCTGCGTGACTGCCCACGTGACTGTCACCCCCCACCCCGTCTGTCCCCCACCCCCATGACACCTCCCCACCCTCCGCCCCCCGGGACTGATACTCCACCGCACTGCCCTCTCTACTCTTTTACAGCTCCCCTACACCCTTATCAACCGAGTCCCCCCCCCCACCTCCATGACTGTCACCACCCCTCCCCCGCCCATGACAGCCCCCCAATGTTAATTTCCGTCCTCCCCCCCCCCCGAGACTGACTCTTCAACCACCTCTCCCCCCTTTTCGTGACAGTCCCCGCCCGTAATAACTCCGCTACTCCTAATTAACTGCCCCCCCCCCTCCTCCACCTCTCCCGTCAAAGTTGCCCCGACTCGGAATGTGACAACCGCGCTAACTATACACGCACCTCCGATGAGCACGGTTGGCTACGTACGGTTCAAAAGAAGGTCAACATCCATAATAGCAGGACCTCACGGAACCTAAACGCGCGTTTAGAGTATTTGGCTACTGCTATAAATTTCCACGTGATGAGTCACTTCGTTGAGCTTTCATTTGTGGCTAGGTCACTTCTGGAAAAGAACTACATAGCTCCCTCGGCTTTATCTGGTTAAATTAAAAAGGTTAGATTTGTTTAAATCAACCCAAGAAGCTCCTTTAAAGTCACGTAGGTACATGTACCTGATACCATTACAATAATTGAAGAATTGCTCCAACAGGGACTGAATCCTGATGTACCAACTTTGGTAAGACACTGCCTTACCAACACTTACAGTGAGGGAAAAAAGTATTTGATCCCCTGCTGATTTTGTACGTTTGCCCACTGACAAATAAATGATCAGTCAATAATTTTAATGGTAGGTTTATTTGAACAGTGAGAGACAGAATAACAACAACAAAAATGCAGAAAAACGCACGTCAAAAATGTTATCAATTGATTTGCATTTTAACGAGGGAAATAAGTATTTAACCCCTCTGTAAAATATGACTTAGTACTTGGTGGCAAAACCCTTGTTGGCAATCACAGAGGTCAGACGTTTCTTGTAGTTGGCCACCAGGTTTGCACACATCTCAGGAGGGATTTTGTCCCACTCCTCTTTGCAGATCTTCTCCAAGTCATTAAGGTTTCGAGGCTGACGTTTGGCAACTCGAACCTTCAGCTCCCTCCACAGATTTTCTATGGGATTAAGGTCTGGAGATTGGCTAGGCCACTCCAGGACCTTAATGTGCTTCTTCTTGAGCCACTCCTTTGTTGCCTTGGCCGTGTGTGTTGGGTCATTGTCATGCTGAAATACCCATCCCCGACCCATTTTCAATGCCCTGGCTGAGGGAAGCAGGTTTTCACCCAAGATTTGACGGTACATGTCCCCGTCCATCGTCCCTTTGATGCGGTAAAGTTGTTCCGTCCTCTTACCAGAAAAATACCCCCAAAGCATAATGTTTCCACCTCCATGTTTGACGGTGGGGATGGTGTTCTTGGGGTCATAGGCAGCATTCCTCCTCCTCCAAACACGGCGAGTTGAGTTGATGCCAAAGAGCTCCATTTTGGCCTCATCTGACCACAACACTTTCACCAAGTTGTCCTCTGAATCATTCAGATGTTCATTGGCAAACTTCAGACGGGCATGTATAGTGTGTTCCCAATTGTTTTCTTGGTGACTATGGTCCCAGCTGCCTTGAGATCATTGACAAGATCCTCCCGTGTAGTTCTGGGCTGATTCCTCACCGTTCTCATGATCATTGCAACTCCACGAGGCGAGATCTTGCATGGAGCCCCAGGCCGAGGGAGATTGACAGTCCTTAGTGATTCTTCCATTTGCGAATAATCGCACCAACTGTTGTCACCTTCTCATCAAGCTGCTTGGCAATGGTCTTGTAGCCCATTCCAGCCTTGTGTAGGTCTACAATCTTGTCCCTACTTGATTTGATGCTTTCGTGACTACAGGAATTACTCTTTGTTTTTTTTCGGTAAAGTCATGTATAAATAAGAAATAATAAAAATAAAATTACATAATAGTATACATACGACGTTTCGATTGCAACGCAAGCAATCATCATCAGGTATAGAAGAGCTAAATTTAAGAGAGAGAGGAAACACAGAGAGATGGAGAAGGACATCAAATTGAACAAGATTTAGTAAAATTTGGAAACAATATAATGCCACACAGAGGGTCGGTCAAAACACAATTAACGCATGGTCTGGCTGATTACGTTATTTCAAAGATTGCTCAATTATAGGTTAAGAGTGATAGAGTACAGACACAGACACATATATAGACATCCAAGCAGAGAGAGCCAGCACAGAGACACAGAAAGAGACACACACATGGGACAAATGAAACAATGCTTCTGAGTCGAAGCCTTAAATAGAGGGGAATGGAGGGGGGGGGGGGGAGCAAAGGAATACAAATTAGCATGGACTGGGAGCCACCGCACACGGACCATTCCCCACCCCCACCAACACAGAGCAGAGATTTTTTAGATATAACAAGCTCTCGACAGTTCAACGAGACAACAGCTTGGCGAGAGCCAGAAGAAGGTGGCGGGCGGCTGGCTCCAAAGGGCCCCGCGATCAACTGAGAATGGCGAGGCTCGCCGAGTAGCGATGTATCAACGAGCATGAGTTCAGAGCTGAAAGACGAAGTATCGCTCAAAGACTTTTATTTCTACATCGAGTGCCAGCTTCCAGCTGCAGCGCGACCAGCGCCACCAAGCAAGAGCGTCTGCTGCCAGCGGCCAAGCGTGTGCCGACTCGGCTCATCCAGCAGTGGAAAGAGCCTGACCAGCCGCCCGTGAGCAAAAGAGTCAGCGAACCAGCGAAGAGCGTGATCGTTCGCATCTCCACAGAGAGAGCGCGTTCGTAGCTACTACAGCAGTGGAAAGAGCCTGCTGCTGCCAGCGAACCAGCGGCCAAGCGTGTGCCGACTTGACTCATCCAGCAGCGGAAAGAGCCTGTATCTGCCAGCATGAGCAGCCAAGCCGACGCCCTGAACAAGAGAACAAAGCAGTTCCTATCACCCTCCCCCACACTCACACCCTCACGACGCATCACCCGGCGTCTGCTTCATGAAGACACACAACACGCATATCGGGACAATCAAGAAGAGTGACATTCCAAGGTGGTGCATTAAATATCACCTGATCGTGAAGAACATTGCTGCCATTGAGTTACGTGGATAAGGTAATTTAGAAGAAACTCAGTCGTACATTTTTTCGTTTTCTTTTTAATGGCATAATCTTGCCAATGAATCCATTGACGTATACTTTTGCCTTTGGGGAATAATAATTGCTATGACCGCCCTTTCGCATGAATATCATCGGATGAACTTTTAAGGACTTTATTCGTATTTTCCATATGCTCGTGGTACCCAGAGGAAGTAATCAATTGTTCCTTTATCCAATTAACGTGATTATTGAGGGTTGAAGAGATGGATCAATGAATTGAACATCGCTGGTAACACTGTGCTGACAATTTCAAGTAGAAGAATTTGCATATTAGAGTGTTAAGGTTTTTGTTTAGAATAGCGTGCATGCATGTTTTAACGACTCTATCACCAATTAAGCTCGCGTTACGCGGTGGAATTAATCATATGTGCGGTTGCCAAACTGAAACAACGCAATCGTTGATGTTTGCTGGGTTGATGCTGTCTTGAAAATTCCAAGCTTGAGGGTTCGCATATAATAACGTTAAAGTTTCGTTTAGAATAAAATTGATTAACGCAGAAGTGGTTTCGTGTTTCTTTCCTGAAGTCCATGCATAATCTTATTTACAAGAACTGTATTCTGCGTTAAGATCTGAATTTGGAGACCTGACATAAACACACTAATACACTCAGTAAATGTTAAATCAAGAATAAATGTATTGCCGAGCGTTAATACGAAGTTAAACAACAAAGCGAGTTACACTGGCATAACTTCATACGATTAATTGTCTTATTCCGATTGACGATACGACTCTTGTCAGCGAGGCGGGGCCTAATTATCATAACGGCTTGAATTAGCATAATCACACCCACTCACATGAATTAATAAGATGATATCTTGAGTTAGCATAATTTATGCACACAATTACATCAATTAACACAATTTCGGATCATTACGTAATTTTCAAAATTTAATTAAATTTGTATTATTTTCATCAAAATTTTCATAACCGACATATACAACAACAGGTCGCTTCGGAAAAGGAGCTATATAGCTCAGTGGGACCTTACCTAGTAAAATAAAAAGTTTAGTTTAATATTTCAAGGAGGTCTAAATTTTGACTTAAAACCTTCGTGACTGCAGGAATTAATATTCTTGGTTCTTTCGGTAAAGTCACGTAGATAAAAAATTAATAATAATAGAAAAATGTAAAATAATAAAATCAAAAGGAGGTCGCTGGATTCGAACCATAAACCTCTTCCAAGAGGCGAACTAAATGGACGTGGTGGCAGTAGTGATGACACTGTGGTGCCACGACCGTGGAGCAGCTTCGCAAGTGTCACGATTGTCCACTACCCCCCACCCTGAGCACACACGCAGCACTTGCACCCACGTCGTCTCCTGGCGGGGGATTAGCTGGCACATCGGGTTTTAATCCGAAGGGCCCCGAGAGGGAGAGTCCCACAGTTTCCCGGTGCCAGGAGATTGGCCGACCCTCACAGGACAAGTTACATTGCAGTGCCCCTAAATTGGCTTAAAATTGTATGGGCGCAGAAGGAAAAGGTTGACTGGGCCAACCGCAATAATTTATGCACGACATTGGGAGAGGCTGAGGGTGGAATATTAGGCAAGAAGGGCAGACCAGTAAGTTAGAATTAATGAGCACGGGAGAACAATGGGTGAACGGAGCAACAGCACACTCTGTGGCACTCCATGTAGAGAAGGTCGAAAGGCACAATGGCGCAGGTAAACGCACGATTGGACGTGCCGTACGTCACCGTGGGCCTTTGAAGTGAGGGGATTAGGCCACGGTAGAGACGGTGGAGAGGGACGATGGTGCAGGTAAGCGCACGATTGGCTGCGCGGTACGACGTCACCCTGGGCCTTTGAAGATTAGAGAATAAAAAGAGTAGCCTAGGACGATTTTAGGGGATTTGTCTTCAGCCTCCGGGCCATCAAGACTCACTCCCTGCCGTCCTACCTCTTCGAGCCGCTCGCAGCATCCGTGTGATGCCAGCGAGTGCTGCTACGAGGCAGTGATAGGTAACGTTTTCTGTCGTCCTTCTCCAACTCTCACAGCGTCCGTGCGACGCCGTGAGTTACAGCTACGGGGTAAGTGGTAGGGCGTTTGAGTGACTGTGTTCGTAGGAAGAATTAGGCTAAGCTCTTCTCGCAAAACGTTCCCCGTCCAGGTAGTGTGTATTTGCGCCGTTAACAAACTTTAGTACGGAGTAATCGGTGCAGTGTGATTTGTGTGTGTGTGTGGGTGGAACCTCGGCGTGGTGTTGGTAATTTGAGTGTGTGCGAGGCGCACGCCTGTATTGAAACATAGACGGCCGCCGACGTGCAAGCAGCCATGCCGCGCGAGTATTAAGGCGGGGGCGGGGTGCATCAAACCCGCTCGCCGACGCTCGCGCATGTTTACGCGCGCGCGTGTGTGTGAAACGAGCGCCTGCAGGGGCACGAGCGTTCACGCCACCACGCGCGTTTTTTGTTGTTGTTGTGAGGTGGTGCACGCGGGAGTGTGCGGGATAACCCCGGGCGGTGGTCAGCCAGCCAGTGAGCTCTGTCTCTCAGAGGGCACTGGCGCGGGGGGGCCGATCACCCGATCGGCGGGGGGCCCGGCGAGAGGCGACCAACGAGGGGGAGGAGGGAGTGTAGGGGGCGGATGTCGCGCCCCGCCCGCCAGCGGGGACGGGGGGCGGGCGTCTATCTCCACGACACTATCGGCAGCACACACAGCACAAGATGTGTAGTTAATAATGGCTGAGCCAGAGGTGTCGGTCTTCCCCCTTCTCGCACCGCCACGTCCACCCACACGGTAGAGTAACACCACAGCTTTTTGTAATTGTTTTGTTATTTTCTTTGAACCTATCTACGTGACTTTACCGAAAGACGCAAAGAATATGAATTCCTGCAGTCACGAAAGCTTTAAGTCAATATTTAATTATTTATCAATTAAGCAATACATATGTTGCACTTCCAGAATGTTGAGTTCGGTTTCAGACTGGTGGCTACAGATTTATTTATTTCTTCGCTCCCTGCACGGTAGAGAGGGAGCACTTTGTTGCGGCGACTTCAAAACCGGGTTTATTAGCGCAGACAATTACAGGCTCTGCACACACAGGGGCACACGCTTCTTTTGGTGCTTCCGCCTGTGCTGGCGCTGCCAGCGCCACTGCCGCTGCCAGTTCTGCTCCTGCTGATCGCACCTGCGCTGCCGGTGCTGGCGCTGGTAGTGCTGCTGCTGCCGGGTTCCGCTGCTGCTGCTCGTACCAGTGCTGGCACGGCTGGTACTGCTGCTTCTACTCGCGCTGGCAATGGTGGTACTGCTGCTTGTGTTGATCGTGCCCACACTGCTTCTGCTCCTCCTGCCGCACCCAGTGGTATTCACCTGGGCTGCCTTTATAGAGGGTGCCCCCCCCCCCCACCCTGCCTTTGTCTTGGCCAGGACCGGTCTCAAAATCCTCTAGTTGTGATGCCTCTTGAGCAAAATGAACTCCCCCCGCCCAGACCTAGGGGTTTCACTGTATTGTCTCGCACACATTCTAAAATAGGGGTGGAGGACTTAGCACAATCCATTGTGCTACACGTAACTAAGTATAACTCAAAGCAAGAGTCAGGTTCCAACTAAGTAAATAGACTTAAATAATGGCGGCCCAACATTTAACAATATTAACACTGCAAATTATATCAATAACTATTTGATACTATTATATTTGCACACTATCACACTTATCAAACTATTAACAAATAAGTGTACCTATAAATCAAACCTGTAATGTTGACGTGCTGGCGTCACGATTGTCCCCCCGATACAGATCTCCCTCTCTTCAAAATCCTTAGGGAAGACATCTCATAGCATTAATCTTACATATTTGATTTGTTAAAATATGAATAGAAATTCAACCATTAGTTGTTAATAGTTGTTAAACAATAACACGCTAAATGCCACGTCCATAAAAAATAGAAATCACTCAGACATCACTGTGGCCAATAAAAAATTCCCTATTTAGATGCCTCGGCTGAAACTCCACGAAATAATGTAGAACTTAAAATTCCAAAACTGTTATGCTTCCCATGCACACTGAGTGTGGACTGCGTTGAGCGGTGCAGGGCCGATAGCCCAGGGGCAGCCGTCCTTGAGGAGACGTCTCGCAGGGAGGGTGCCCAGGCAACCACGTGGGAAACAGGCCTTGCCACAGCACCGTCAATGGTATCCTGGGAGGCTCGGCTAAATGCTCAGCCTTCTTCTTGGTTGGTGGTGAGTATCAGCCCCCTCACTATCTTTTCCAGCTATCTAGACGGAACAACCTCACTTGGTGAGTATTTTAACTTAAACAATTTTTCCAGGTGCAGGTTCTTCCAGCCCGGGGAGCAGCACGTGATTTCCGGGCAAGGTGCTGCCACCAAACCCAAGCCCTGCCCCTTTTCTAAAACACTCTCTCCTTACTTCTCCCCACTCCCTGCCTTAACAACCAGGTCCTACTTGACTATCTGCTTCATACCCCGGACTGTGGGGGTGAAATGGTCGAAGCGGGAGGGGCTAGAAACGTCGAGGGCTTGCGACCTGAGTAGCTACCCATTGCAGGTATCACAGTGGTCTCTGCTAAAGACGACCGAGTTACCGAAACAAAGGGGTGGCACCCAAAGGTCGGCGACGAAGCGGAAGGTGGTGGTGAGATCGGTCCAATACCAAATTTTTATAAACGCGACGCATTGTCTGTTCACCAAAAGAATAATCTATACTTGAACCGAACGGACGTGGAAGTGGTCACATTGTTAGAGTAATATCTTGACAGACGGTCAGATGTCAATATTGCATAGAAGGAAGTTATGGTGAAGCACGCCCCATCCTTCACTAGGCGAGGTTGGCGCGCCTCACGTTCCGCAAACGCCATGCACATGTGAACACCAGGCGGAAGGCCTGACGGAAGGCCCGGTTGAAAGCTGGGTAGAGGATGGGATTGAGCGCTGAATTCATATACGCGAGCCACGCAGTCGACTCCCATACCCAGGGTTCAGCCAAGAACCCCGTGAATGGGTCGAGCAGGGTGAGTGAAAAGTAGGGCAACCAGCAGGTGACAAAGGCCACCATGATTATTCCCAAGGTTTTGGTGGCACTTCGATCCCGTCTCTGGTCCGTTCTCTTTTCCGGTCTTGAGTTGATGTCGCAATGTTCCCATGCCACGGACGACACTGAGACGACGTTGCGAACAGCCCGCGCCTGGCGCAGTGCCACCCGGTAGATGCGCAGATACGTGACCACCATGACAAAGCTCGGAACGAAGAAGCTGCAGGTGGAGCCGGCTATGGCGAAGGGGGCATTCATTAAGAGGACACAGGCGTCTGGGCAGGATGAGGCCACCAGTTCCTCGATGCCCACCGTGTTCCACCCGAGCAGGATGGGGCCCACGGCCAGCAGGGCCGAACCCACCCAGCAGATTGCCACCAGGGTGGCCGCGCGACCGGCTGTGAGGCGCTGGTGGTAGCGGAGGGGGTCGCAGATGGCCGTGTGGCGGTCGAAGGCGATGGCGCCCAGGTGTGCGATGGAGGCCGTGCTCAAGAGGACGTCGAGGCACGTGTGCACCTTGCAGAAGGTTCGCCCAAAGAACCAGCAGCCATACAGCGAGCGCGTGGCACTGAACGGCATGACCAGGAGTCCGACCAGAAGGTCGGCCACGGCCAGAGACAGCGTGAAGGCGTTGGTGCGGGTCTGGAGTTGTCTGCCGGTAGACAGACGGGAGGGCAAGAGTCGGGGTTGTTAGTCTTTGGGAAAGATGGAAAATACCTGGAAGGCTGAAAGCCTCTCCCTCCGCCCTGCCTACTTCGTAATGCCCACGACCACTTGATCACTCGCCCCGCACACACAGAGAGTGGCTTCTTCACTGACTCCTGTTTAATCGACAGTTAAAATTAAACATTCCTGGCTGAGACGATAATCACGTTACCAGATGTCTTTATAGGCGAGCTTTACTAAAAGTGGCGATCCTTCGGTACTGCTGCTCGCTGCCCCGTCTCGTTCTCATCACGTGAAAGTTATAAATTATATGTAGTCTTACGCAACACGTTCAGGGGCTGGATGCCAATCTCGAGGTCTGCTGGCCATGAGAAGTCTTCAGGAGGTAATTCGTTGCGTTTTGGTATTCAGCCGGTGAAGGAGCGCAGATAATTGTAGTTTGCTATACGGTCTATAGTTTGGGTTAATGGAACAACAATGTATTCATACTCTTTGGTTCTATTCGGTAAAGTCACGTAGGTAAAAAATAAAACAACAAAAATCACGACGTTTCAGCCACAACAAAAGCGGCCTTCATCAGGTGAAGGGACCAGACTGTCTCGAGGAGCGCTGGAGTGAAACACAGCTACGCTCAGACCGCGACCTTTAAGCTGTGTGCGAGGAAACAAGGTGCCTTGACAAAGGAATTAGCATAAACATTTGCATTTGATTGGCCGACTTAGCATGATGAACGGTGTAGAGGTGGTGTACATGTGGGTGAACATGCCGGTTGGCGAGGGGGGGAGGGGGAGTTTACCTATTGACGGTGTGATAAGGGAATTTTTAAGAGCTGCGAAAGTTTGTGGTACCACTACTTGAAAAATATACTGTACCATTGAAATTAGTTTAATGTTTGGTTCGATTTAGAACATCTTTCCAATGGTTGCTTAATATGAAACCATCTTCTCGGTAGAAATTGTGGCTGTGTTTATAGATCTGAATTGCCTCGTGAACAAATCTCTGATAAAAACCCGTGGGTTTGCAAAGAACCTTGGTATCGGAGAAAATTATATCGTGATCACCCACAGCGTTGTAACAGTGATCAGCTACGGCAGAATAATTCGTTCTGCCGTGTTTCAAATCTGATTTGTATTCGCAAATTCGGTCAGAGACATGTCGCTTTGTCTCCCCAATATAGCAATCACCGCAGGTACAACTCAATTTGTAAACCACTGGGTACTGTAAGTCAAGAATGACATCCTTCACGGATGGGATCAGATCACGAATTTTGTGTACTGTATTGAACCGGACCTGGATCTTGTGCTTGTTTAGAATTTTGGAAATCTTTTAAGTCACGCCTGCTATATATGGTAGTGTTATGGTTTTGACCGGAGTATCAAGTGGTTGTTTCTGTATGGAGGGAGAAACAGCTTGGCGGATGGTATGGTCAGAGTATCCATTCCTTTTGAGGGCCAGGTGTACATGTTTTAATTTACTGCTCAGGTGGTGTTGGTCCGAAATGCAATGAGCCCTATGGTATAAAGGTTTGATGAGAGAATTATTTTGGGCTGGGTGGTGGTGGGAATCAGGTTTCAAGTAGGAATCTGTGTGGGTGGGTTTCCTGTAGACAGAATGCCTAAATGAGCCATCAGGTCTCCTCTCAAACAGAACATCTAAGAATGGTAGCTTGCCATCTTTCTCCACTTCCATGGTGAATTTGATGGCGGGATGTCTGGAATTGATGTGGTGTAGGAAAAGGTTGAGAGCTGGGAGGCCATGTGGCCAAATGACGAAAGTGTCATCCAAATATCTCTTCCACAGGGAAGGTCTGAGGGTGGAAGTCTGGATGGCGTCTGATTCAAATTTCTCCATGAAAATATTGGCTATCATTGGTGACAAGGGGGATCCCATGGGGGTACCCTCATTTTGTTTGTAGAAAGAGCCATTCCAAGTAAAGTAGGTATTGTTGAGGCAGTGCCTAACCAGTGCAGGTGTATCGGGGTCTCGTCCATGTTGGACCAAATTTTCAATTATTTCAATGGTATCAGGTACTGGGACCTTGGTGAACAAAGAGACCACATCGAAGCTGACAAGGATATCGTCAGGGGACAGTACAACGTCTTTGACCATAGAGACCAATTGGGCTAAGTTAAGTACTGCTGAGGCGGTCTTGCCAGTGAAAGGCAGCAAGGTATCTGACAGAAAATGGTCTAGTCTATAGGTAGGGGAGTTGATCGTGGATACGATGGGTCGTAGTGGGGTGCCTTCTTTATGAATCTTGGGAAGACCATAGAATCTAGCGGGTCTTGCAGCAGAAGGTTTTAGGGAGGGACGTTTAGTTGGGTCGATTAGGGAGGTCGAACTTGTGATGATCTTGTTGGTTTTTAACGCTAGGCTATTGGTAGGGTCATTTTTAATTTTTGAGTAACTTCCATCGTTGAGCAGATTCTGGATTTTGTTGTTGTATGAATCTTTATCCATAATTACAGTAGCGTTGCCTGTATCGGCTGAGAGGATGACTATATCACTTCTGTTTTTTAAATTCGCGAGTTCAGAGCGTTCATTTTTGCTGATGTTACTAATGGGTTTCTTAGCATTCTCAGAAAAGTGGCTATTTCAGCTCTCGCAACGTCTGCTTGGATGTGTCCTTCTGCTGCTGTATCTTCTCCGAATTCTAAACAGATTCTGTTTAAGGCCAGCCTATCTTTAATCTCAGAGAGGATAAGGCTACTCCGATTGGAACTCGATACTTTAGACAGGACTCTCCTACAAGCTCATTTAATGTTAACACAAAAAATGCCACCTTCTGATTGGAATCACGTAGACAACATGACTGCTTCTTCTGCTGATTCACTGTCAGTCAAATGTAAAGCTAACCTGATTTCTAAATTCAACCACCTATCAAAGAAGAACCCATTTCCACATATAACAAAACTAGACGTCAACAAAATCGTCATTAATCAGAGTAGCACCCGATTTCGGACAATCTGAAAACAGTACTGGCTAGGGGACTGAATTTTGCTGTCACCCCAAAACACATACCAGTAGATGATATCATCTCTCAGGTCGATGTAGCCCTCAAAGGCGTAGGACACATCCAAGCAGACGTTGCGAGAGCTGAAATAGCCACTATTCTTAAGAATACGAAGAAACCCATTAGTAACATCAGCAAAAATGAACGCTCTGAACTCGCGAATTTAAAAAAACAGAAGTGATAATCATCCTCTCAGCCGATAAAGGCAACGCTACTGTAATTATGGATAAAAATTAATACAACAACAAAATCCAGAATCTGCTCAATGATGGAAGTTACTCAAAAATTAAAAATGACCCTACCATTAGCCTAGCGTTAAAAACCAACAAGATCATTACAAGTTCGACCTCCCTAATCGACCCAACTAAACGTCCCTCCCTAAAACCTTCTGCTGCAAGACCCCCTAGATTCTATGGTCTTCCCAAGATTCATAAAGAAGGCACCCCACTACGACCCATCGTATCCACGATCAGCTCCCCTACCTATAGACTAGCCCGTTTTCTGTCAGATACCTTGCTGCCTTTCACTTGCAAGACCGCCTCAGCAGTACTTAACTCAGCCCAATTGGTCTCTATGGTCATAGACGTTGCACACTCCCCTGACGATATCCTTGTCAGCTTCGATGTGGTCTCTTTGTTCACCAAGGTCCCAGTACCTGATACCATTGAAATAATTGAAAATTTGGTCCAACATGGACTAGACCCCGATACACCTGCACTGGTTAGGCACTGCCTCAACAATACCTACTTTACTTGGAACGGCTCCTTCTACAAACAAAATGAGGGTACCCCCATGGGATCCCCCTTGTCACCAGTGAGAGCCAATATTTTCAGGGAGAAATTTGAATCAGACGCCATCCAGACTTCCACCCTCAGACCTTCCCTGTGGAAGAGATATGTGGATGACACTTTCGTCATTTGGCCACATGGCCTCCCAGCTCTGAACCTTTTCCTACACCACATCAATTCCAGACATCCCGCCATCAAATTCACCATGGAAGTGGAGAAAGATGGCAAGCTACCATTCTTAGATGTTCTGTTTGAGAGGAGACCTGATGGCTCATTGGGGCATTCTGTCTACAGGAAACCCACCCACACAGATTCCTACTTGAAACCTGATTCCCACCACCACCCAGCCCAAAATAATTCTCTCATCAAAACTTTATACCATAGGCTCATTGCATTTTGGACCAACACCACCTGACCAGTGAATTAAAACATGTACACATGGCCCTCAAAAGGAATGGATACTCTGACCGTACCTTCCGCCAAGCTGTTTCTCCCTCCATACAGAAACAACCACTTGATACTCCGGTCAAAACCATCACACTATCATATATAGCAGGCGTTACTAAAAAGATTTCCAAAATTCTAAACAAACACAAGATCCAGGTCCGGTTCAATAGAGTACACAAAATTCGTGATCTGATCCCATCCGTGAAGGATGTCATTCCTGACTTACAGTACCCCGGGGTTTACCAATTGAGTTGTACCTGCGGTGATTGCTAAATCGGGGAGACAAAGCGACATGCCTCTGACTGAATTCGCGAGCACAAATCAGATTTGAAACACGACAGAACGAATTCTTCTGCCGTAGCTGATCACTGTTACAACGCTGTGGGTGATCACGATATAATTTTCTCCGATACCAAGGTTCTTTGCAAACCCACGGGTTTTTATCAGAGATTTGTTCACGAGGCAATTCAGATCTACAAACACAGACACAGTTTCAACCGAGAAGATGGTTTCAAATTAAGCAACCATTGGAAAGATGTTCTAAATCGAACCAAACATTAAACTAATTTTCAATGGTACAGTATATTTTTCAAGTAGTGGTACCCCAAACTTTCGCAGCTCTTAAAAATTCCCTTTTCACACCATCAATAGGTAAACTCCCCCTCCCCCCCTCGCCAACCGGCATGTTCACCCGCATGTATACCACCTCTTCACCGTTCATCATGCTAAGTCGGCCAATCAAATGCAAATTTGTATGCTAATTCCTTTGTCAAGGCACCTTGCTTCCTCGCACACAGCTTAAAGGTCGCGGTCTGAGCGTGGCTGTGTTTCACTCCAGCGCTGTCCTCGAGACAGCCTGATTCCTTCACCTGATGAAGGCTGCTTATGTTGTGGCCGAAACGTCGTGATTTTTTTTTACCTACGTGACTTTACCGAATAGAACCAAAGAGTATGGATCCTTGCAGTCACGAAAGCTTTAAATCTAGAACAATGTATTCAAGGATTTCAGAGCCAGGAGGTGATATGTTTGGTCGCGAATGAGGTTTTTTTGTTCGTTTGTTCTGGACGTCTATGTTGTTCGCCAGCGTTCTTCTGGATCTGAGTGAGATTCCAGGATGGTAACGGCGTGATCCGAAAAGGTTGATCGGCGCTTGAGTCGGCAGCGATGGTGCTCGTCTTGCGGCTGCAATAACCGGCGAGTTGTACCCTGAAAGTATACAATTGGTGCACTGTTGAACGACATCTGATGATTTGGGGAGGGAGATGGTAGCCTTCTCGCGGACAACCTGGTATGTGTTTTCCTGACACAGTAATACCCAGATTTACGTCTCCACCTTGTACATCGTTTCGCAAATAAGCCATCATTTTATTTATGCCACGACCTGATTTGGGTCACCTCAACTCACATGTGGCTGACAGCATCATCCGTCCTTTCTCACGTCAGACTTCGCCTCCACCTACCCTTTAAATCGCATTAACGTCATTTCAATATTCGTTGTACATTTCAGGAACGCCTCGGTTTAAACTGGGGTATTACTGTTCATTCGGGGCGCCGTACTAGCGAGATGTTAACGACCTCGCCTGGTGTAGAGGAGGACGTGGGTTCGATTCCAACCTTGACGCCTGTATATTTGTAATTTGCATGTCTCTCGCCCCGTGGATTTTTTCTCCAGGTCCTCCGGATTTTCCCCATTTAGAATCGACATGTTTGCATTTGGCAGCTGTAAAATTTCACGTGATGATAAGCCAGTTCTCTGAGCTATCATTTGTGATGGCTAGGGTCGCTTCTAACTATAAGCAATATATCCTCAGTGGGCCTTAGCTGGTAAAATGAAACGTTTAGTTTAAACACGTTATCCCCTTTGACCCTCACCTGAATAAGGCGATGGAGGCCACCACGAGGAGGTTGCCCATGACCGTGAGGGCGGCAAGAGAGAAGCAGAGAAAAGCCAGCGCCCGGCTCTCCTCGGGGCCCAGCGACGGCGCGGAGCAGTTGAAGCGGCCATCCTGGCTCAGTGAGCACTGCACTGCCAGGGTCATGACCCCAACACCTCCTTCTGCCTTGACCTCTGACCGATAACCTTTAACTCCTAGCCAACCTGCACTTCACCCTTCACTCGTAACATTTCCGCCTTCACCCCAAACACGCTAACCAGTAATCTCTGAACCTTTCAACTTTTTAAGTCAAATTATTTCAGTGTCTTGAACAATTTAACTTTGATCTTTAACGTTTAACATTTCATCTTTAACCATTGACCTTCCACCTTCCACCCTTAACTTAAATTTTAACCTCTCGCTCCATTACCTTTCGACTATAAACGTTTAACCTTCTTTCCTATTTACCCCTATTCCACGTAACGACTCAACCCTTATCTTGTCACCTTAGAACCACATACCAACTCAACCTTTCAATGGTAACAGTGAATATTTCACCAACGACCTTTCAACTTTAACCGAACGTTCACTTCGACCTGCCCGTGACCCATACCATGACCGCGATTCTGATCACGACCTGTTATGACAATAAATATACCCGAGTCGGATTCCAAATCAATTTGACTTGACCTTGACCCTAACCTCAACTTAGTGTGCTACCACCTCTACCAGGCAAGGCTTCCAGTAGGGGCAGCAGCAGTGGCAGCAACTGAAGTAGCAACAATCACATAAGTAGCGGCAGTAGCAGGGACGACAGTAGACGGAATGGCGGCAGCAGGAGTCGCAGCAGTGACAGCAGCAGCAGTAACAGCGACAATATCAGCAATGTCAGTATTAGCAGCTATAGTCGGAGCTACAAAAGTACAGCAGCAGCAGTAGTAACAGCGGCAGCAAGAGCAGCAACAACCATGGCAGTAGCGACAGCGGTAGTAGCAGCAATAACAGCAGCAGCAGTAAAACTGAATAAAAACAGTATTTTCTCAATCCACTGCTGGATGAAGGTCTCCCCAGGTTGTTTGACCATACTTCACCACGCGGATAGGTGCCGGACCAGTTCAGATATCACTCGCCACCGATGCTAGCCATGACCAGGAATGGAACCGAGGTCATCGCGTTCAGGGCGCAGTCCGCTAACCACTGCGCCACCGCTCCACTCCCGACAGCAAGAGTAGAAGCAGCAACGACAGTTGCAATCACAGCTTCAAGAGTCGGGTCTGTTGGGAAAGACAAGATTACAAAGTTAGTACTTTCAATGAGTGAGTGAGTGAGTGAATGAAAGTAAATGAATGAATTATTCCAGTTGTCAACAGGTGAGGGCAACTTTAGATAAAGCAAGATTTCGTCACCTCCTCTAAGAAGACTCGGGATTAAAAAAAAAGGTTAACGTGGGGTGGAGCGGTGGCACAGTGGTTGGCGCATCGCGCCGCGAACCTGCCCACCCAAGGTCGATTCCGTGCCATGACTACACGAACCCGCACTGATCCGCCACTGATAATTATCCGTGGCCGGGAATCCAACTCAGGTGGCAGGCTTCGCAGAGAAGCGCTCAAATCACTCCGCTCCTTCACTCTTTCCATTCTCTTTTATTTGCGAATTTACCCAGGAAAGTCCTAGTGAGTCCAAAGATGTTTGGCCAATGCCAGTTACATCTTTGAAAAAGAGCTTTAGAGCTCATCGGATTCCTCCAGCACAGATAAAGATTCTGATTCTGACACCGTCCGTGTATGTTTTAGTCACGGTGAGAAAACCGCAGAACCCGGAGGAGACCCATGCGGAACAGGGGGAGAGAATACAAACTCCAGACGTGTCGTGGTTGGGCACGAGAGGGGCGACCACTGCGCCACCGCTCTTCTCTTCTACCGGCGAGCGCGAGGGCCCGAACCAGGGGACGACTCTCCCCGCCAGTCTGGGACTCACCCCTCTGGCGCGACACGCGCTTTATCCTGCGTGACTGCCCACGTGACTGTCACCCCCCACCCCGTCTGTCCCCCACCCCCATGACACCTCCCCACCCTCCGCCCCCCGGGACTGATACTCCACCGCACTGCCCTCTCTACTCTTTTACAGCTCCCCCACACCCTTATCAACCGAGTCCCCCCCCCACCTCCATGACTGTCACCACCCCTCCCCCGCCCATGACAGCCCCCCACTGTTAATTTCCGTCCTCCCCCCCCCCCCCCCCGAGACTGGCTCTTCAACCACCTCTCCCCCCTTTTCGTGACAGTCCCGGCCCGTAATAACTCCGCCACTCCTAATTAACTGCCCCCCCCCTCCACCTCTCCCGTCAAAGTTGCCCCGACTCGGAATGTGACAGCCGCGCTAACTATACACGCACCTCCGATGAGCACGGTTGGCTACGTACGGTTCAAAAGAAGGTCAACATCCATAATAGCAGGACCTCACGGAACCTAAACGCGCGTTTAGAGTATTTGGCTACTGCTATAAATTTCGACGTGATGAGTCACTTCGTTGAGCTTTCATTTGTGGCTAGGTCACTTCTGGAAAAGAACTACATAGCTCCCTCGGCTTTATCTGGTTAAATTAAAAAGGTTAGATTTGTTTAAATCAACCCAAGCAGCTCCTTTAAAGTCACGTAGGTACATGTACCTGATACCATTACAATAATTGAAGAATTGCTCCAACAGGGACTGAATCCTGATGTACCAACTTTGGTAAGACACTACCTTACCAACACTTACAGTGAGGGAAAAAAGTATTTGATCCCCTGCTGATTTTGTACGTGTGCCCACTGACAAAGAAATCATCAGTCAATAATTTTAATGGTAGGTTTATTTGAACAGTGAGAGACAGAATAACAACAACAAAAATGCAGAAAAACGCACGTCAAAAATGTTATCAATTGATTTGCATTTTAATGAGGGAAATAAGTATTTAACCCCTCTGCAAAATATGACTTATAGGCCACTCCAGGACCTTAATGTGCTTCTTCATGAGCCACTCCTTTGTTGCCTTGGCCGTGTGTGTTGGGTCATTGTCATGCTGAAATACCCATCCCCGACCCATTTTCAATGCCCTGGCTGAGGGAAGCAGGTTTTCACCCAAGATTTGACGGTACATGTCCCCGTCCATCGTCCCTTTGATGCGGTAAAGTTGTTCCGTCCTCTTACCAGAAAAACACCCCCAAAGCATAATGTTTCCACCTCCATGTTTGACGGTGGGGATGGTGTTCTTGGGGTCATAGGCAGCATTCCTCCTCCTCCAAACACGGCGAGTTGAGTTGATGCCAAAGAGCTCCATTTTGGTCTCATCTGACCACAACACTTTCACCAAGTTGTTCTCTGAATCATTCAGATGTTCATTGGCAAACTTCAGACGGGCATGTATAGTGTGTTCCCAATTGTTTTCTTGGTGACTATGGTCCCAGCTGCCTTGAGATCATTGACAAGATCCTCCTGTGTAGTTCTGGGCTGATTCCTCACCGTTCCCATGATCATTGCAACTCCACGAGGTGAGATCTTGCATGGAGCCCCAGGCCGAGGGAGATTGACAGTTCTTAGTGATTCTTCCATTTGCGAATAATCGCACCAACTGTTGTCACCTTCTCACCAAGCTGCTTGGCAATGGTCTTGTAGCCCATTCCAGCCTTGTGTAGGTCTACAATCTTGTCCCTACTTGATTTGATGCTTTCGTGACTGCAGGAATTACTCTTTGTTTTTTTCGGTAAAGTCACGTATAAATAAGAAATAATAAAAATAAAATTACATAATAGTATACATACGACGTTTCGATTGCAACGCAAGCAATCATCATCAGGTATAGAAGAGCTAAATTTAAGAGAGAGAGGAAACACAGAGAAATGGAGAAGCACATCAAATTGAACAAGATTTAGTAAAATTTGGAAACAATATAATGCAACACAGAGGGTCGGTCAAAACACAATTAACGCATGGTCTGGCTGATTACGTTATTTCAAAGATTGCTCAATTATAGGTTAAGAGTGATAGAGTACAGACACAGACACATATATAGACATCCAAGCAGAGAGAGCCAGCACAGAGACACACAGAAAGAGACACACACATGGGACAAATGAAACAATGCTTCTGAGTCGAAGCCTTAAATAGAGGGGAATGGAGGGGGGGGGGAGCAAAGGAATACAAATTAGCATGGACTGGGAGCCACCGCACACAGACCATTCCCCACCCCCACCAACACAGAGCGGAGATTTTTCAGATATAACAAGCTCTCGACAGTTCAACGAGACAACAGCTTGGCGAGAGCCAGAAGAGGGCGGCGAGCGGCTGGCTCCAAAGGGCCCCGCGATCAACTGAGAATGGCGAGGCTCGCCGAGTAGCGATGTATCAACGAGCGTGAGTTCAGAGCTGAAAGACGAAGTATCGCTCAAAGACTTTTATTTCTACATCAAGTGCCAGATTCCAGCTGCAGCGCGACCAGCGCCACCAAGCAAGAGCGTCTGCTGCCAGCGGCCAAGCGTGTGCCGACTCGGCTCATCCAGCAGTGGAAAGAGCCTGACCAGCCGCCCGTGAGCAAAAGAGTCAGCGAACCAGCGAAGAGCGTGATCGTTCGCATCTCCACAGAGAGAGCGCGTGCGTAGCTACTACAGCAGTGGAAAGAGCCTGCTGCTGCCAGCGAACCAGCGGCCAAGCGTGTGCCGACTTGGCTCACCCAGCAGCGGAAAGAGCCTGTATCTGCCAGCATGAGCAGCCAAGCCGACGCCCCGAACAAGAGGACAAAGCAGTTCCTATCACCCTCCCCCACACTCACACCCTCACGACGCATCACCCGGCGTCTGCTTCATGAAGACACACAACACGCATATCGGGACAATCAAGAAGAGTGACATTCCCAGGTGGTGCATTAAATATCACTTGATCGTGAAGAACATTGCTGCCATTGAGTTACGTGGATAAGGTAATTTAGAAGCAACTCAGTCGTACATTTTTTCGTTTTCTTTTTAATGGCATAATCTTGCCAATGAATCCATTGACGTATACTTTTGCCTTTGGAGAATAATAATTGCTTTGACTTCCCTTTCGCATGAATATCATCGGAGGAACTTTTAAGGACTTTATTCGTATTTTCCATATGCTCGTGGTACCCAGAGGAAGTAATCAATTGTTCTTTTATCCAATTAACGTGATTATTGAGGGTTGAAGAGATGGATCAATGAAATGAACATCGCTGGTAACACTGTGCTGACAATTTCAAGTACAAGAATTTGCATATTAGAGTGTTAAGGTTTTTGTTTAGAATAGCGTGCATGCATGTTTTAACGACTCTATCACAAATTAAGCTCGCGTTACGCGGTGGAATTAATCATATGTGCGGTTGCCAAACTGAAACAACGCAATCGTTGATGTTTGCTGGGTTGATGCTGTGTTGAAAATTCCAAGCTTGAGGGTTCGCATATAATAACGTTAAAGTTTCGTTTAGAATAAAATTGATTAACGCAGAAGTGGTTGCGTGTTTCTTTCCTGAAGTCCATGCATAATCTTATTTACAAGAACTGTATTCTGCGTTGAGATCTGAATTTGGAGACCTGACATAAACACACTAATACACTCAGTAAATGTTAAATCAAGAATAAATGTATTGCCGAGCGTTAATACGAAGTTAAACAACGAAGCGAGTTACACTGGCATAACTTCATATGATTAATTGTCTTATTCCGATTGACGATACGACTCTTGTCAGCGAGGCGGGGCCTAATTATCATAACGGCTTGAATTAGCATAATCACACCCACTCACATGAATTAATAAGATATCTCGAGTTAGCATAATTTATGCACACAATTACATCAATTAACACAATTTCGGATCATTACATAATTTTCAAAATTTAATTAAATTTGTATTATTTTCATCAAAATTTTCATAACCGACATATACAACAACAGGTCGCTTCGGAAAAGGAGCTATATAGCTCAGTGGGACCTTACCTAGTAAAATAAAAAGTTTAGTTTAATATTTCAAGGAGGTTTAAATTTTGACTTAAAACCTTCGTGACTGCAGGAATTCATATTCTTGGTTCTTTCGGCAAAGTCACGTAGATAAAAAACAAATAATAATAGAAAAATGTAAAATAATAAAATCAAAAGGAGGTCGCTGGATTCGAACCATAAACCTCTTCCAAGAGGCGAACTAAATGGACGTGGTGGCAGTAGTGATGACACTGTGGTGCCACGACCGTGGAGCAGCTTCGCAAGTGTCACGATTGTCCACTACCCCCCACCCTGAGCACACGCACACACGCAGCACTTGCACCCACGTCGTCTCCTGGCGGGGGATTAGCTGGCACATTGGGTTTTAATCCGAAGGGCCCCGAGAGGGAGAGTCCCACAGTTTCCCGGTGCCAGGAGATTGGCCGACCCTCACAGGACAAGTTACATTGCAGTGCCCCTAAATTGGCTTAAAATTGTATGGGCGCAGAAGGAAAAGGTTGACTGGGCCAACCGCAATAATTTATGCACGACATTGGGAGAGGCTGAGGGTGGAATATTAGGCAAGAAGGGCAGACCAGTAAGTTAGAATTAATGAGCACGGGAGAACAATGGGTGAACGGAGCAACAGCACACTCTGTGGCACTCCATGTAGAGAAGGTCGAAAGGCACAATGGCGCAGGTAAACGCACGATTGGACGTGCCGTACGTCACCGTGGGCCTTTGAAGTGAGGGGATTAGGCCACGGTAGAGACGGTGGAGAGGGACGATGGTGCAGGTAAGCGCACGATTGGCTGCGCGGTACGACGTCACCCTGGGCCTTTGAAGATTAGAGAATAAAAAGAGTAGCCTAGGACGATTTTAGGGGATTTGTCTTCAGCCTCCGGGCCATCAAGACTCACTCCCTGCCGTCCTACCTCTTCGAGCCGCTCGCAGCATCCGTGTGATGCCAGCGAGTGCTGCTACGAGGCAGTGATAGGTAACGTTTTCTGTCGTCCTTCTCCAACTCTCACAGCGTCCGTGCGACGCCGTGAGTTACAGCTACGGGGTAAGTGGTAGGGCGTTTGAGTGACTGTGTTCGTAGGAAGAATTAGGCTAAGCTCTTCTCGCAAAACGTTCCCCGTCCAGGTAGTGTGTATTTGCGCCGTTAACAAACTTTAGTACGGAGTAATCGGTGCAGTGTGATTTGTGTGTGTGTGTGGGTGGAACCTCGGCGTGGTGTTGGTAATTTGAGTGTGTGCGAGGCGCACGCCTGTATTGAAACATAGACGGCCGCCGACGTGCAAGCAGCCATGCCGCGCGAGTATTAAGGCGGGGGCGGGGTGCATCAAACCCGCTCGCCGACGCTCGCGCATGTTTACGCGCGCGCGTGTGTGTGAAACGAGCGCCTGCAGGGGCACGAGCGTTCACGCCACCGCGCGCGTTTTTTGTTGTTGTTGTGAGGTGGTGCACGCGGGAGTGTGCGGGATAACCCCGGGCGGTGGTGAGCCAGCCAGTGAGCTCTGTCCCTCAGAGGGCACTGGCGCGGGGGGGCCGATCACCCGATCGGCGGGGGGCCCGGCGAGAGGCGACCAACGAGGGGGAGGAGGGAGTGTAGGGGGCGGATGTCGCGCCCCGCCCGCCAGCGGGGACGGGGGGCGGGCATCTATCTCCACGACACTATCGGCAGCACACACAGCACAAGATGTGTAGTTAATAATGGCTGAGCCAGAGGTGTCGGTCTTCCCCCTTCTCGCACCGCCACGTCCACCCACACGGTAGAGTAACACCACAGCTTTTTGTAATTGTTTTGTTATTTTCTTTGAACCTATCTACGTGACTTTACCGAAAGACGCAAAGAATATGAATTCCTGCAGTCACGAAAGCTTTAAGTCAATATTTAATTATTTATCAATTAAGCAATACATATGTTGCACTTCCAGAATGTTGAGTTCGGTTTCAGACTGGTGGCTACAGATTTATTTATTTCTTCGCTCCCTGCACGGTAGAGAGGGAGCACTTTGTTGCGGCGACTTCAAAACCGGGTTTATTAGCGTAGACAATTACAGGCTCTGCACACACAGGGGCACACGCTTCTTTTGGTGCTTCCGCCGGTGCTGGCGCTGCCAGCGCCACTGCCGCTGGCAGTTCTGCTCCTGCTGATCGCACCTGCGCTGCCGGTGCTGGCGCTGGCAGTGCTGCTGCTGCCGGGTTCCGCTGCTGCTGCTGCTGCTCGTACCAGTGCTGTCACGGCTGGTACTGCTGCTTCTGCTCGCGCTGGCAATGGTGGTACTGCTGCTTGTGTTGATCGTGCCCACACTGCTTCTGCTCCTCCTGCCGCACCCAGTGGTGTTCACCTGGGCTGCCTTTATAGAGGGTGCCCCCCCCCCCCACCCTGCCTTTGTCTTGGCCAGGACCGGTCTCAAAATCCTCTAGTTGTGATGCCTCTTGAGCAAAATGAACTCCCCCCGCCCAGACCTAGGGGTTTCACTGTATTGTCTCGCACACATTCTAAAATAGGAGTGGAGGACTTAGCACAATCCATTGTGCTACACGTAACTAAGTATAACTCAAAGCAAGAGTCAGGTTCCAACTAAGTAAATAGACTTAAATAATGGCGGCCCAACATTTAACAATATTAACACTGCAAATTATATCAATAACTATTTGATACTATTATATTTGCACACTATCACACTTATCAAACTATTAACAAATAAGTGTACCTATAAATCAAACCTGTAATGTTGACGTGCTGGCGTCACGATTGTCCCCCCGATACAGATCTCCCTCTCTTCAAAATCCTTAGGGAAGACATCTCATAGCATTAATCTTACATATTTGATTTGTTAAAATATGAATAGAAATTCAACCATTAGCTACTTTTGCAAGTTCACCTATATCAGATGTATTTTATAAATAATAAATTATTTTATTAAGGATGGCGACAAATTAAATTTTAATAGTTAAGCAAAATCTATGCCAGCTCACCTCTTCCAGTGGTCACGTGACTCTTGCAACTGAGTCACGTGCCTTCCTATTCTGAGAGGTTGACGAAGGGCGTGGCCTATCCTAAGCCAACCGTGACCCAGAAACATTCACAAGGTTTAATAACCACTAATGATCTTGTACTGCAAATATATGCACCATCTATTTAGTAACACAACCACACCGGTTACGCAAGGTGATAAGCCTCCATTTCTTTGTCGCATTGGCTCGGAATCACTTTCATCAGGCAGGTTGAGTTCGACTTTGTAATTCTCAGGCTCACCTGTATCTCTGTTCTCCGGATTGTTGTCACCTTGTGTCTCTCGGTGTGGTCCTGTGTGTCTCATTGTGACTCACTCTGCCTCCATATTTCTGTCCCTACGTTTATCTCTATCTCTCTCACTTTGTGTCTGTGTTACTGTCTCACTCTGTGTCTCTCTGTGCGTCTCTGCTTCACTTTCTTTGTCTCTGATTCTAGGTTTCTAGTTAATAGTTGTTAAACAATAACACGCTAAATGCCACGTCCATAAAAAATAGAAATCACACAGACATCACTGTGGTCAATAAAAAATTCCCTATTTAGATGCCTCGGCTGAAACTCCACGAAATAATGTAGAACTTAAAATTCCAAAACTGTTATGCTTCCAATGCACACTGAGTGTGGACTGCGTTGAGCGGTGCAGGGCCGATAGCCCAGGGGCAGCCGTCCTTGAGGAGACGTCTCGCAGGGAGGGTGCCCAGGCAACCACGTGGGAAACTAGACGGAACAACCTCACTTGGTGAGTATTTTAACTTAAACAATTTTTCCAGGTGCAGGTTCTTCCAGCCCGGGGAGCAGCACGTGATTTCCGGGCAAGGTGCTGCCACCAAACCCAAGCCCTGCCCCTTTTCTAAAACACTCTCTCCTTACTTCTCCCCACTCCCTGCCTTAACAACCAGGTCCTACTTGACTATCTGCTTCATACCCCGGACTGTGGGGGTGAAATGGTCGAAGCGGGAGGGGCTAGAAACGTCGAGGGCTTGCGACCTGAGTAGCTACCCATTGCAGGTATCACAGTGGTCTCTGCTAAAGACGACCGAGTTACCGAAACAAAGGGGTGGCACCCAGAGGTCGGCGACGAAGCGGAAGGTGGTGGTGAGATCGGTCCAATACCAAATTTTTATAAACGCGACGCATTGTCTGTTCACCAAAAGAATAATCTATACTTGAACCGAACGGACGTGGGAGTGGTCACATTGTTAGAGTAATATCTTGACAGACGGTCAGATGTCAATATTGCATAGAAGGAAGTTATGGTGAAGCACGCCCCATCCTTCACTAGGCGAGGTTGGCGCGCCTCACGTTCCGCAAACGCCATGCACATGTGAACACCAGGCGGAAGGCCTGACGGAAGGCCTGGTTGAAAGCTGGGTAGAGGATGGGATTGAGCGCTGAATTCATATACGCGAGCCACGCAGTCGACTCCCACACCCAGGGTTCAGCCAAGAACCCCGTGAATGGGTCGAGCAGGGTGAGTGAGAAGTAGGGCAACCAGCAGGTGACAAAGGCCCCCATGATTATTCCCAAGGTTTTGGTGGCACTACGATCCCGTCTCTGGTCCGTTCTCTTTTCCGGTCTTGAGTTGATGTCGCAATGTTCCCATGCTACGGACGACACTGGGACGACGTTGCGAACTGCCCGCGCCTGGCGCAGTGCCACCCGGTAGATGCGCATATACGTGACCACCATGACGAAGCTCGGTACGAAGAAGCAGTAGGTGGCAGCGGCAATGGCGAAGGGGGCGTTCATTAAGAGGACACAGGCGTCTGGGCAGGATGAGGCCACCAGTTCCTCGATGCCCACCGTGTTCCACCCGAGCAGGATGGGGCCCACGGCCAGCAGGGCCGAACCCACCCAGCAGATTGCCACCAGGGCGGCCACGCGACCGGCTGTGAGGCGCTGGTCGTAGCGCAGGGGGTCGCAGATGGCCGTATGGCGGTCGAAGGCGATGGCGCCCAGGTGTGCGATGGAGGCCGTGCTCAAGAGGACGTCGAGGCACGTGTGCACCTTGCAGAAGGTTCGCCCGAAGAACCAGCAGCCGTACAGCGAGCGCGTGGCGCTGAACGGCATGACCAGGAGTCCGACCAGAAGGTCCGCCACGGCCAGAGACAGCGTGAAGGCGTTGGTGCGCGTCTGGAGTTGTCTGCAGGTGGGTAGGCGGGAGGGCAAGAGTCGGGGTTGTTAGCCTTTTGGTAAAGCTGCACAATTTCTGGAAGGCTCAACTGGGACATGTGGTGAGCTGGAAGCCTCTCCCTCTGCCCTGCCTACGTCGTAATGCCCACACCCCCACTTGATCACGAGCCACACACACAGAGAGTGGCCTCTTCGCTGTTTCTGACAAGAGCCCTGCCTACTCCTCTGCAAACTCTGCCCGCTACTCAGGCAGCTCTGTCTGTATGAGTTCAACATGATTTTAAAACTGGGGACAAAATACCTATTTTCCCCAATACATTTCTTGGGGGATTTGGAGACAAACTTTCTGGAAACACTGGGATTTTCCAAGGCAAACCAGGACGTTTTTTCGTATTGTAAACACTGGACTTGAACAGGCATGCACGGCACCCTGCACGATTAATAAAGTATACGCGACTAGAGGACACAGGAAGTCAAGCAAGCATACAAACCCGGTGCCTCGTGGATAACTCAATAAACACATGGACACAGACACACACAGACAATGGGGAAGGGGACACTGTTGTTGACGAGCTATGGAGATGATTCCTGTTTAATGCATGGTGGGGGTTAAACATTCCTGGCCGAGTCGATAATCACGTTTCGAGATGTCCATAGAGGCAGGCTTTACAAAGAGTGGCGAATCTTTGGTGCCCATGCTTGCTGCCACTTCTCGTCCTCGTCACGTGAAAGTTATAAAAAAAAGGCCGTGAATTTTATGGAGCCACCCGTGCCAATTTGTGGTCCAACCACCCATACACTGTTCCTGCGGCTAGGGCAGGGGTTTGCAACCAAAATAACAAGATCCATTTTTTCTCTCGAATTTGGCACAAAACAGAATATTTTAAGAGCCGCAATGCACGTGAAGACATACATACATATATAGCGTCACGAAGCAGATATGTAAAGAGCCGCATGCGGCTCCGGAGCCGCACTTTGCAGACTTCTGGGCTATGGGGCACAGCAGGGCCGCAAAGAGCCACTTGAGTGGAGTGTGTCCAATGGACCTCCAAGCGAGCCAGCAGTGGGACCTGCTCCAGGCTGCCAGATGCCCTCAGGAAGGAGTGGTCGCTGCCACAGTTCCCACCAAGAAACAATACAATGGCACTAGGCCGCTTCTGCTTAAGGGTCAACAGTCAATCAGCAGAAAACTTACATAACCCCACCATCCAGAACATTAACGTTAGACCTATCAGGCGTATTATGCGCCTGTATGGATGGATGTTGAACTTCTTTCGCACCGTATGTAGCCAACCGTGCTCATCGGAGGTGCGCATGTCAACGACGTTTGGGAAGGGCCCACTTTATTGTCTTAAAAAAAAGCTTGAAATTAATGTGGCAGGTGGGTGGTCGGGATATATCGTATATTTTGTGTATGATGTCATGAGAGGGATCATTGTCAAAAACATTGATGTATCGAAAAAAAATCGAGTTAATAGATACAGGGGCGGAGCCAGGGGTGACATTCTGCGTATAAGTGTACGACACTCGGTCTGGAGGACTCCGTGCAACTGCATTGTCAGAGTGTGTCGCCAACCGATGGCGTCTAGTTCAACAGCCTGACTCTCTAATCATTCTTGAAATTAACATTTGTTGAATGTCACCCCGGCCTGAAATCCTGGCTCCGCCCCTGAATAGATATATCCTTGTTTTTCCCCATCTCTCAAACATGCCACTGGCAACGGAGGCGAGTATTTGGTTGCTGTAAATTTCCACATGATAAGCCACTTCTGAAAGGAAAAAAACAACTCTATATAGCCTCAGTGGGCCTGAGCTGGTAAAATGAAAAACAAGCTTAGTTTAAACACGTTACCCCCTTTGACCCTCACCTGAATAAGGCGATGGAGGCCACCACGAGGAGGTTGCCCATGACCGTGAGGGCGGCGAGAGAGAAGCAGAGAAAAGCCAGCGCCCGGCTCTCCTCGGGGCCCAGCGACGGCGCGGAGCAGTTGAAGCGGCCATCCTGGCTCAGTGAGCACTGCACTGCCAGGGTCATGACCTCAAAAACCTCCTCCTGCCTTGACCTCTGACTGATAACTTTGAACTCCGAGCAGGATTTGAACTTCACCCTTCACCCACGCTAACCTTTACACCCTTAACATTTTAACTTTTTAAAGTAAAAACTATATCATTCAAACCTAAACATTGCTGTAACTTTAACATTTCATCTTTAACGTTTCACCTTATACCTTTCACACTTAACGTTCACTTTAATATGTTATCAATAACCTTTCAACCTTCACCTCAGACCTTCTACCATTTAAATTTTCACCCTTAACCTCTTAACTCTCCGCCTTAGACCATACCGCACTTAACGTTTCACACTCAACCATTCACATTTCACTTCAAATGTAAATTCTCGCTCCTTTCCATTGAACTTTAAATGTTCATCGTCCAACTCTATCTTACTTATTTAACTCTACACCGCGTGACATCTCAACCCTTCACGTTTGACCTTAGACGTGTCCACTGTTAAACGTTAAAAGTGAACATTTCACCAACGATGTTTCAACTTTAATCTAAATTTTACTTTGACCTGCCCTTGATCCGAACCATGACACGGTCTGATCGCGACCTGACATGACCTAAAATTTACCTCAACCAAAATTGAACTCAACTTGGCCTGACCTTAACCCTTGCCTCAATCTAGTGCACTACCACCTCTACCAGGCAAGGGTTCCAGCAGTGGCAACAAAAGTAGCAGTAGTAGCAGCAGCAACACGAGGAGCAACAATGACATACGGAGCAGCAGTAACAGACAGCAACAGCAGTAATAAAAAAAAATTCGGCAGGAGTAACAAGTGACAGTAGTATATATGTATGTTTAACCTCTTTCGCGCCGTACGTAGCCAACCGTGCTAATCGGGGGTGAGGGGGAAGGAAACACAAAATCAGTTCTAAAAAAAAAAGAGTTTTCAATCGAGATTATTTAAAACTGCATAACACCAGTGGCTTCCTAATGGCGCAAGGAGGAGCGTTCCAGACGGCCGCAGAAGCGCATCTGAAAACGCCCAATGTAGTGACCGCCTTCGTTCGATGGTTAGCCGAAGCAACAGTAGCAAGTAATTGTCGCAACAGCAGCAGTAACAGCAGCAGTAGCAGCAGCGACAGTATCAGCAATAGCAGTATTAGCAGCTATAGTCGTAGCTGTAACACAGCAGCAAAAACAGCAGTAGCAACTGCAGCAGTAATAGCACTAACAACAGCAATAACAGCAACAGTAGTAGCAACAATAACAGCAGAAGTAGCAATAACAGCAATAGAACCAGCAACAACAGCAGTAGCAACAGCAGCAGTAGTAGCACCAACAACAGCAGTAGCAGCAACAGTAGTGGTAGCAATAGCAGCAGTAGCAACAACAGCAATAGAACCAGCAACAGCAGTAGCAACAGCAGCAGCAGTAGCACCAACAACAGCAGTAGCAACAGCAGCAGGAGTAGCACCAACAACAGCAGTAGCAGCAACAGTAGTGATAGCAATAGCAGCAGTAGCAACAACAGCAATAGATCCAGCAACAACAGCAGTAGCAACAGCAGCAGGAGTAGCACCAACAACAGCAGTAGCAGCAACAGCAGTGGTAGCAATAGCACCAGTAGCAACAACAGCAATATAAGCAGAAATAGCAGCGGGAGCAGTAGCAATAAACATGAATATAAAGTCGTTTCTCAATCCGCTGCTGAATGAAGTTCTCCCCACGTGACCACGCTGATCGTTCGGATATCGCTCGCCACGGATGCCAGCTGTGGCTGGGGAGCAGTGTGCTAACCGCTGCGCCACCGCTCCGCTCCCGACAGCAATAGCAGCAGCCGAAGCCTCGAGAGTGGGGTCTGTTGAGAAAGACAAGATTACAGAGTTAGTGCTTCAATGAGTGAGTGAGTGAATGAATGAAAGTGAATGAATTACTTATTCCAGTTGTAAGCAGTTGAGGGCAACTTCGGACAAAGCGACAATTCATCACGTCCTTTGCGAAGACTCAGCATTAAAACAAAAGTTAACATCGGGTGGAGCGGTGGCGCAGTGGTTAGCGCACTGTGCCACGGCTGCACAGCTGTCATCAGTTACGAGATATATAAATTATATAAATTAGTAACTGACAAATATGGTCAAACACCGCCACAAGTGGCAACGGCGTGGGGAAAACCATCATCCAGCAGTGGATTTTGACGCAGAGTTGTACACCATTCGAGCATTCGTTCGATACCGCGTACTTGTTTTGCAGGTAAGTTGTGTTATGCCTGCATTTGTATGATGCTCATTACGACTACCAGTGTTTATTCTTGCTGAAATTACCGACGAGAACATTCCATGGCTACGCCCATGACGAGACGAGACTCGTGATGCTTGCACAAAGACGCGGACTGAGCAATGAGCACCGGGGTTGGATTCCCTACTCGGGCGTCTTTCTGACGCGGAGTTCGTAGGCTCGCCTCCTGTTCTGCAGAGTGTGAGTGAATGGAGTTTGTATGATCTCCCCTTACTCTACAGAGTGTGAGTGAGTGGAGTTTGTATGATCTCCCCTTACTCTACAGAGTGTGAGTGAGTGGAGTTTGTATGATCTCCCCTTACTCTGCAGAGTGTGAGTGAGTGGAGTTTGTATGTTCTCCCCCTATTCTGCAGAGTGTGAGTGGAGTTTGTATGATCTCCCCCTGTTCTGCAGTGTGAGTGGGTGTGTGTGTGAGAGTGAGTGGAGTTTTATGTTCTCCCCCTGTTCTGCAGAGTGTGAGTGAGTGTGAGAGTGAGTGGAGTTTGTATGTTCTCCCCCTCATCTGCAGAGTGTGAGTGTGTGTGTGAGAGTGAGTAGAGTTTGTATGTTCTCCCCCTGTTCTGCAGAGTGTGAGTGGGTGTGTGTGTGAGAGTGAGTGGAGTTTGTATAATCTCCCCCTGTTCTGCAGAGTGTGAGTGGGTGTGAGAGTGAGTGCAGTTTGTATGTTCTCCCCCTACTCTGCAGAGTGAGAGTGGAGTTTGTATGTTCTCCCCCTGTTCTGCAGTGTGAGTGGGTGTGTGAGAGTGAGTGGAGTTTGTATGATCTCCCCCTGTTCTGCAGTGAGAGTGAGTGGAGTTTGTATGTTCTCCCCTACTCTGCAGAGTGTGAGTGGGTGTGTGTGTGAGAGTGAGTGGAGTTTGTATGTTCTCCCCTGTTCTGCAGAGTGTGAGTGTGTGTGAGAGTAAGTGGAGTTTGTATAATCTCCCCCTGTTCTGCAGAGTGTGAGTGTGTGGAGTTTGTATATTCTCCCCCTCTTCTGCTGTGAGAGTGAGTGGCGTTTATATGTGCTCCCCTGTCCTGCAGAGTCTGAGTGAGTGGCGATTGTATGTTCTCCCCCTGTTCTGCAATGAGAGTGAGTAGAGTGGTGTTTTTATGATCTCCCCTGTGCTCCCAAGTGTGAGTGAGTGAGAGTTTGTATGTTCTCCCAAAACTGCATGGGTGTTCTCCTATAGCTAAACTCCCCCCCCCCCCCCACACACACACACGTGTTGTGGAACCGGTATTTGACAAATATCCCAATGCTGAAGCATTACAGTACAGTACCTGCAAATTACTCGATTGGGATCACAGGCAGCAGCAGCAAAGATCGCCGGCAGCCCTCCTTAAAATAAAGTATCGCGACTCAAAAGAGGTTTTCGTGGGCGATTCTGAACATTTGCTATCGCGAATGCGCCCATCGCTCACCGTGAGCAATTTGCGGTAACAACGCGGTTTTTTTGTTGTTGCTCCGTTCAAAGAAAAATCGGCTCGGGCTCAATGATGCATCCCGTGAACAATCTGCTGCCCGTTATTCCGGTGTCCACGTGCTCGGCCTGGGGACCTCGAAACGGAGGAGGGCCCTATCTGGCAAGTGGAGTCATGAATAAAGAGTAACGTTCTTCGAGACACTCCGAGTCCGAAGACTCATGTTTTCAGGAGGGTCCTGCACGAGGATGCTTGTCCAATGCCAGTTGCGCCTGTGAAAAAAAGAGCTTTGTAGCTCATCGGATCCCTCCAGTACAAGTGAAGGTTCTGATTCTGACATCGTCCGCGCGTTTATTTGAGTAATGGGAGACAACCGGAGAACCCGGAGGGACCCGCTGCAGAACAGGGGGGGTGGGGGGGTAGAGGAATACAAACTCTGAGTCGTGTAGTCGTTAGGCACGAGTGGTGCAACCACTGCGCCACCGCTCCTCTCCACCGACGAGGAGCTCGAACCAGGGGACGACTCGCAACCCCTCTGGCGCGACACGCGCTTTATCCTCCGTGACTGCCCACGTGACTGTCACTCCCCACCCCCACGACACCCCCCCGCTCCACCCCCACTGCAATGACACCTCCCCACCCCCCATCTGCCCCCCACCCCCATGACAGACCCCCTCCCCCCGGGACTGCCACTCCACCCCACCCCCCTCTCTACTCTGTGACAGCTCCCCCCACCCTGATTGACTTACCTCCCCCCCCACTTTTAATTGCCTACCCTCCCCCCTGCCCCCCCGGGACTGCCACCCCAGCCCCCCATCCCAACCGCGTGAAAACTGCCCACACACCCATCATTAATTAACTGTCAAGAATTGCCCCCACTCTGAATGTCACAGCAGCAGCCTCTCCACGCCCCGTTCCTTACTCCCAATTCACTGCCCCCCCCACGCCCCACCACCATTACCCCCCTCCCCACCGGTCCTCGGGTGCCCGAGGGTTACGTGGTCTTCCACCGTCGCGCTAATTGGGGGACGGCGTTTTAATCGTTGGGGCGCCACGGTGGCGATGATGTCCGCTGGCTGGCCGTACGCGAACGCATTTGCGAGGTCGCGCGCTCATCATCATGACTCGTCGCGCGCAAAGTGCTCGCCACGCACGAACTGCGACACCTCGGCTGATCTCGTCAAGGAGCCTAAACCGTCGTCACGCGAACTCCGCTCATCCTCGCAGCAGCAGAAGCAGTAGCAGCAGCGGATTTTGGCTTAACCATCGAACAAAGACGACCACCGCGTCGCGCGCTTTCAGATGACTTTTATATCTGGATTGAAAACTCATTCTTTGGTTCTATTCGGTAAAGTCACGTAGGTAAAAAAATAAAACAACAAAAATTACGAAGTTTCGGCGACAACACAAGCGGCCTTCATCAGGTGAAGGGATCAGGCTGTCTCGAGGACAGCGCTGGAGTGAAACACAGCCACGCTCAGACCGCGGACCTTTAAGCTGTGTGCGAGGAAACAAGGTGCCTTGACAAAGGAATTAGCATAAAAATTAGCATTTGATTGGCCGACTTAGCATAGAGGTGGTGTACGTGCGGGTGGACTTGCCGTTTGGCGCGGGGGGGGGGGGAGTTTACCTATTGATGGTGTGAAAAGGGAATTTTTAAGAGCTGCGAAAGTTTGGGGTACCACTACTTGAAAAATATACTGTACCATTGAAAATTAGTTTAATGTTTAGTTCGATTTAGAACATCTTTCCAATGGTTAGTTAATTTGAAACCATCTTCTCGGTTGAAATTGTGTCTGTGTTTGTAGATCTGAATTGCCTCGTGAACAAATCTCTGATAAAAACCCGTGGGTTTGTAAAGAACCTTGGTATCGGAGAAAATTATATCGTGATCACCCACAGCGTTGTAACAGTGATCAGCCACGGCAGAAGAATTCGTTTTGCCGTGTTTCAAATCTGATTTGTGCTCGCGAATTTGGTCAGAGACATGTCGCTTTGTCTCCCCGATATAGCAATCACCGCAGGTACAACTCAATTTGTAAACCCCGGGGTACTGTAAGTCAGGAATGACATCCTTCACGGATGGGATCAGATCACGAATTTTGTGTACTGTATTGAACCGGACCTGGATCTTGTGTTTGTTTAGAATTTTGGAAATCTTTTTAGTAACGCCTGCTATATATGGTAGTGTGATGGTTTTGACCGGAGTATCAAGTGATTGTTTCTGTATGGAGGGAGAAACAGCTTGGCGGATAGTACGGTCA